TTAGACCCAACTCCTCAAATTTTGAAAGTACCTTGCAGTTGTATATGTATGTATACCACTTCATCTTGTCTCCCTGTTATTGCTTGTTATTCTGGTGAAGTGCGTTGACTGCAAATTGTTGGGATAATTGTACATAGCACCTGCGAAACAAAAAAACCCATATAGCGTTTAAACCAAAAGAGTTGAATAGCCAGCTAGTCACTAAATCCACCCTGCAATAAACCCAAACAAACAGGTGCAGAAACAAATCACAGTGAGATAATTTGCATCACCCTGGTCAGCTTTTTTTGTGCACATGACTTGTTTCAGTTTGGAGGACCTCCTAGACAGACTGTTGTGATAGTTTTATTTTAGATTTGATGTACATGTACATATTTTTGTGTTTATTCATGCAAATGGGGGTGTAGAAACAGCTGAAATGTTTTTTTTTGGGGGGGGGGAGGAAGAGGGGCATGAATGGAAGGGAGCAAGCGAGTACAACGCAGGTGTCTGTGATTGCAGTGGGTGCGGGAGTTCATCAAGCTGTTGCTAATTCGTGAGGGACTCTAGGGCATGATGAGAGAGTAGGGGTACTCTACATGGGATCATTAGGATGTACACCATTTTCTTATTAAATGGATTTTTTTTCGGGGGAGGAGGGAGGGGGTGAGGAAGGGAACACTGAAATCCCATATTCTTACTATTTATATGAAGTTTGTTCCCACTAAAATGTGAATATTTATGTTGAACAAAAGTTGAATGACCATGACAATGTGCCCACTGACTTCATAATAAGGGCACAGTCAAGTAAAGTATCATTTTATAGTGTAGGCCCTACTACTCACTGGCTAAAATGTCATGCACATATATGGAAAAAAAAAAGATTTTAGAATTAAACCAATTAAGAATAAAACCCCTTTTTTTAATGGACAACCTTTACACATGGAAAATAGGAGGAAATAATATTTGTACCCATGTCTGTTCCTTGTTTCCTGCAAATCTTGAATCAGGCAAGTTTTCATTCGTCCTTTAAGAGTTAAGAAAGAAAAAACTAAACAGACAAAGAGGAAAGTATCATGCATGCCAGTTAGGAAATAAAAGAGTGAATCAGTATGACTGTTTTGTCGTTTTGGACTCTGGATATTCGGCACTCCGCATTTTTTGTTTTCCCCACAGAAATCTTCTTCTTACGGAAGCCGTAGCACATAATTTGGAGCCTGTTACACCAAAAACAAATGAGTGAATTACAGCTCTCAGGTGTGTGTTTGAGTCGTGTAAGCAGCTGCATCCCCCTAGCTGCTGTTAAAGAAAATCTTGGTCTTAATCCAGATGCTTTGCTCCCCGAGGGACGATGTAATCTTCTGAAGATACGGGGATCATTTCTCAGTTATGACAGCTCTTAGACAACAGCAATCATCTTCCAAAATTCTCTTTCGTTTTATTCCAAAGGTCATTGATCACTTGGCTTGGCCTTGTTTTCTACTGTTTTTCTCACCGATTTCCCCCCAGTTTTTGGTTCCTGCATTTGTTTTCTCAAAAAAAAAAGAAAAAAAAAGAAAAACAGTAAACCCAAACTTGTCAGTTTAGGTCATTATTTAGTCATTCAATAGCAATTCAGTCAGTGAGGGAGTCAGTCAGTTAGTCAGAAGACAATAGCCAACCCTTCAGGTCCAGCAAAAAAATATCTTTAAATCGTCCAGCTTCTTAAATTTTGTATTTGGCAAGATACTGGTTGTCAGTTTAAAACATTTTAAATTGAATTCTTCCTCCTCCTCCCATTCTTGTGCCAATTTCTGACCTGTCTCTTTACCCATCTGCCGTCAGTAATTTAGCAATCACGCGTGCCGGATGCGGATGCGTATCCAGGTCTGGTTTCATCTCTTGTGACAGAGCTATGCCGTCTGCCACCAGACTTTAAAAAAAAAAAAAAAAAAAGTGGGACAAGTTTTCCCCCTCTTAGTCTGGTTGGAATTTTGGAATGTTAATGCATTTGATGCTTGCTGTCAGTCATGGGTCTGTTAGCCAGGTCTTCCCCAAGGTCTGTCCTGATGATGATGATTCGTGTTTGTCCACGATGCCAAAATCACTTTAAGAGACCTGAAAGAGATGTGGGTTGTGGAGTTGTTGCATTTGTGCCAAAGGAGGTTGTGGAGTTGTTGCATTTGTGCCAACAGAGGTTGTGGAGTTGTTGCATTTGTGCCAAATGAGGTTGTGGAGTTGTTGCATTTGTGCAAAAAAAAGAGGTTGTGGAGTTGTTGCATTAGTGCCAAAAGAGGTTGTAGAGTTGTTGCATTTGTGTGTAAAGATCTTGTGGAGTTGTTGCATTTGTGCTAAAAGAGGTTGTTAAAGTCGTTGCATTTGTGTGAAAAGAGGTTGATGAGTTGTTGCATTTGTGTGAAAAGAGGTTGTGGAGTTGTTGCATTTGTGCGAAGAGAGGTTGTGGAGTTGTTGTATTTGTGCGAAAAGAGGTTGTGGAGTTGTTGCATTTGTGCCAAAAGAGGTTGTGGAGTTGTTGCATTTCAAAAACAACAAATACATTTTTGTTGGTGTCTGCATCTTTCTTAAAAAGGCTTTCATTTTGGGTTGTATGTTGGGTTACAATTAATATGAGATTTAAGTAATGATTCCATAACTGAAAGTCGGCAGAATTTGTTGGTTTTCAATAGCTAGAAAATGGAAGTATTAAAAAGGACCGCTAAATTTTCGGGTGAAAATCGGAAATGGCACGGGGAGAGCAACTTAATTAACAGTTCGCTGCTCTCCAATTCTGGACCGGTGCCAAATCGTACGTAACACAATATACAGATGGCCCGCTCTCACATCGTCCTCCTCTCTGCCTCCGATTCCGGAGGTAAAGAGAGAAGTTTAATGTGCTTGGATTCACTGATGCATGTTTGCTGAATGAGCAACGCCGAGCATTTATGGTGGAAGCCGGCCATAAAATGCCCGTGCTCGAGCTGAAAGAAAAACTGAGAAAAAACAAGGTTGTCAAGAGCAGCTGCAACAGATTTATATTTTTCTCATACGGTTCATTTTTTGGGGGGTATATATTTTGTCTGCCTTTTATTCCTGCCTCCTTTCCTCACAATGAAAAGTTCATAAATCATACTCCAGCCGTCTTTTGTGCTTGTATGCTGCGAATGTCAACTGCTTTTGATTGTCGGATTTGAGGCTTTCGCTTCATTTTTGTGTGTGAAATGTTCCGCCTGGGCCATTTTCAATAAATAACCTCCCAGTCCAGTCATTCCTTTCTTTTTGGTACGTCTGTTCAATCCTGTTGTCTACTAAGTTGAGTATTGCTTTCTTTGGGTCCATTTGAAAAGAAATGTGCTTTGAAAACCATGCTTTGAGATTTTTTTTTCTAGGCTTACACAAAAAAAACATAATCCCCAAAATTGAAAGGTTGGCCACACGCAACTTTTTGAATCAGTCCAGTACTTGAAAACCATGCTTTGAGCCTTTTCTTCTAGGCTTACACAAAAAAACATAATCCCCAAAATTGACAGTTTGGCCCCACACAACTTGTTGAATCAGCCCAGTACTTGAAGTTGTGCCAACTCTTTAGTTCATATTTCTTTTATAGGGTTTTCTTCAATGTCGTTGGTGTAAAGAGAGACAATATTCAGAAAGCTTGACCTCAGGTTTAAGAAAAATAACTTTTTTTTTAATTTCTTTTTTAGGTTGTTATGTGTAACAGTAAAATATCGATATGGATTTCTAGGTTTGCAATATAGTAATTTTTTTTAACAGGGTGAGTAAAAAAAAAAAAAAATAAAACCCCCAAATGTTAGGACCATTTTTTATTGAAGTAGCACTTTCAAAATATAGGATATGAAAGCCGAATTCATAATCTTTCTTTTAGTATAAGAGTCATTCAAATCACTCATGTACTTTTCAAGTTACAGAATTTTAAACACAACACCGTTTTTTAGTTCTGTCCTTGGATCTCAAAAAAGGTAAGTGTTCTTTCAGCAAAACGAAAACAATTCACACACATCCCTATGTGAATTGTTCGTTTTGCTGAAAGAACACTTACCTTTTTTTGTGATACGTGGACAGAGCTTTGAAACGGTGTTTGTGTTTAAAATTCCGTAACTTGAAAACTACATGAGTGATTTGAATGATTCTTATACTAAAGGAAAGCTTATTAATTGGGCTTTCATATCCTAGATTTTGAAAGTGCTACATGCAGAACTTCATTAAAAAATTGGTCCTGCCATTTGAGTATCCTTTTTTTTTTATTCGCCCTGTATTTTAGGTAGCAGTACTATGGTAGAAATGGTTGCACTTCTTGACAAGCTTTTGAGTGTTGAGCTGAGTTTGATTGTATGATACATTCTTGTCAGATATTTCTGACCATTAATCGCAGATTTTACAAAAAATCACCCGAACTCAGCAGCTTTCATGAATATGAGAATATGGATGTGTTAATTTGTGCTACACATTTTACAATCTTTAGCATTACCTGGGGAGTAAACCTGCGATTGACAAGCATCCTATCCAGGGGGATAGAAATATTCTCAGTGGTTTCGTGCTACTGAAACCGGAGATAAACGCCGGCCTGATGGGCCACATTGGCTCGTGACAGACTTGACTTTTACTTAACTTATTCTACAATCTTTGGTGAACATATATTCTTTCTTTGTGTAAAAAAAACCTTATTTGACCACCCCCTCCCCCACCCAAAACAAAAACTACACACAAAAAAAAGTTAAAAAAACAAAAACAAAAATTTATTAACTGGCAAGTTTGGTGGTTCAGTTCTAAGATTTCTACACTATTACTCAGAAGGTAGTGAGTTTGAGTACCGATTGTGACACTGGCTATCAAATTACATGAAGAGCAAATTACTAAAACTGTAAATTTTACTAGAAGTTGATAGATTTTGGAGAGAATGTTCTAAACTTCTAACATTACCATTCTATTTCGTAGACAATTTTGGACACTGCTTCAAAAAAGAAATGCTGGTAAACTAAAACACATATGATTGTCCGATTATTTTTGTTGTGCCTATCTTGTAGGTAGCAGCAGTTGAGGATTTCCGCTTGCTAAAGACATGCATCTACTCTCGGACACCAGCTACTGGGTACCAGCAGCATGCGCATTCAGATTCCTGAGGTATCAAATTATTTTGTCTGAATTTTCATTTGATAAAAATCATGATTTCCAATTTCCAGTTCAAGAAAAAAAACGAAAAAAATTTTCCTTCAGAGAAGTTACTGAATTCAAAACAGGGCTCTTCCACCATTCTATTTCGTTAATCATAATTCCCAAAGGCCCTGTCAGACTGTCTGCGATCATATTATGCGCTGTCACTGCATCCTTGAAAAATACTAGATCACAGCTAGGTCTTTGTGGTCTCCGATGAGCGCCAAAGTTTTTGAACAATCGCAACACCTCTGTGCTCTGGCCAGGGCGCCGTAATGACGCAACTCGGGTGCTCTGCGAGCGTGAATCGTGCGACATTGACGTGGCATTGACGCAGCCTAGGCCCAAGGCAGATGATGTAGTCTCCATGAGAAAGTAACTCCACTGCGATGAACTTGTAGAATAAATTTGAAACTGGACTGTGGATTGACCATTTTGTCGTGGTATTTACACAGCGCAAGTGACATCACGTGAGCGTAATTTGGTCGGATAGAGAGCGCGACGCGAGCTACAAGGACGTATCAACAGTGAGCAGAGTGTAGTGAAAGTGCAGTGACAGCGCAGTGGCAGCGACTAGATCGAGTAATTGGGTTTGACAGGGGCGCATAGAGAGCGAGTTGAGCGCATCGTAAGCGCGGGATGAGCGCAGTATGAGCGTAGCTTGAGCTACTTTCTTGCCACGTAATACAGAAAATTGTCATTTTCGTGCGTCCTCGCTGCGATTGTTAAATTTATTTAATATTTTTGGTCACCGTAAGGTCTCCTTTGAGAGCCCATATAGGGGGGCCTAATGTGACAGGCCCTTTAGTTTATATTTTCTTTGCCAGGAACCTTACCAAATTTTTCCAAATTATTTACTGTCCAGATTTCCAGTGATACCTGTACTGGAACTTTCAATGGGGCATCTAGGCTCCATGTGAAATAACACTGGCTGGGTTGCACCTTCCTAAATCCTGAAAAATCCTCCCAAATCAGGAGAATTTCAATGGAAAAACTAAACAAACATTCATTGATAATGCATTAGTTTCAGTTATTAAAACCATAATGAAACACTGACTAGATGTATTATAATAATTCTAAAGTTGAACAAAACAATTAACTAGAGCAGGGTACCTGCAACATCCGGATAACTGCACCGGTGGTCTACCAACTGAGCTATCCAGCCCTATGTTGGCGGTTCAACACATCTTGACAATTTTGAATTGGTGGACCAAAAAATACTTCATCCTTCAGCAGATTTGGGCAAAACAATACTGGTTTGGTGTGTCTGCACTGAAATCAGTCCTAAATGTTGTAAACTTTTCAAAAGTTCCTTTTCAGTACTACCTTGGCAAGAACTTTTTGCTTCACTTGTTAATTTATGGATCATCATTTGATCATTTTTTTATTCTGTCATTCTCAAAATTCATGTCCGCCATCTGTTTGGAAGTTAATGACAATCAACCAGTTATATGTTTTGTGTTCTTGAATGTCATTCATCATAAGATCGCACACTAGATGGTAGGCCTGATATTAGGAAAGACATTGACATCCGTATCTATCAATCATTTACAAGATTTCAATTTGTCTTTTAAAAATTGTGTCATATTGGCTTAATCCAGCGTATATCCCTTCATGGTTTACAGCTTGATTGTGAAGAAACGGCCCACAGATATTCCATGGACATTTTGGCTGCTTTCAATCATCCTAGGATTGGGTGTGTGTGCGGGGTGGCTTAGGAGCACTAAGGCCAGGTCCCATCTTGCCGAAGAATAATGCGTGCGCTGTCATTAAATTTTGAGTTTAATTGCCGTAGCGTGACTCGGAAAAGACCCCTAAATTGTTCTGCAGCACGCAGTGGCTTTTGAGAGCCCTTGTGTGAGGCTAGGAGTCTGGATTGGGGAGGGTAATTAATGATCCGCCATTGGAAAGCTCGCCAATATCAGAAGGTACAAACTGGCACACACACATACACACGCAAGCAGCTGCGCCATGCTACCGCATTAACGACGTCAGTGTGATTAGCGTAAGCTAGCAACACGTTGTTGTCGCACACTGTAAGGCAAGGCTTAATGAGGTTAACGTAATGTGCAGGCTTCCCCGCTGTCCCAGCACACGGACCCCAAAACCCCCTCCGGGCAAAAGAATATAAAGAGTACAGTCCCGTCGGTGGTTGGGGCCTTGGGGTATTAGAAACCCTCCGTCTAGCACGCCTAGCACGCAACAAATAAGTAGCTAGCTCGTCGCATTACATCCTATGCAACATCTTTTCTACCCCTTCCTGGCAGCTATTGTTTGCTCGTCGTGGCCTGGGGTGATTTGATGTCATATTACATTGGAAGCAGGTACACACAAGGGGATTTGTCTGTTGATTCAGCTCTTCAGTTGCTGAAATATTCCACAATTTCAGGCTGTGGTTGCTTTTGTCTGGAACCCCCCCTCCCCTGAAAAAAGTGGCTGGATTTTTTATGTCATTTGTGTGTGGTTTGGGACTAACAAGTTAATTAATTTTCCCGATGTGTTTGGAGAAGAGAGACTGAGTTTTGGGATTGCGGAACTGGTAGCCCAGCTTTAATTCTACATATTGAATGCAAGACTTTGCATGGGCGCTTTTATGTTCTGTTGTCTGTTCCGTTTTGGAAATCACCAACTATTCATGTTTTCTTTAAAATTACGACACGCCACACTTAGTGTACATTTTGGAAAGAATGTAGAATCCAGACGCCACTTCAGCGGTTGTGTACAAAGTCTGTGGAGAGTCAAGAACATTTTGTATTTCCTAACAAAATTGGAAATGTTTCTCAGTCCCAGATTCATGTCTTTTCAACATTTTTGCAATGGGTGAGCTTTGCTGAGATGATATATGAAGGTAAAAGTGGTGTTAGTTCCGACATTCTTTCCTACGTTTCATTTTCAGCCCAAGCCAGATTTCTCTCAATTATTTGACCGACGTACATGTGCAGGTTTCCATGTAATTACCAATCAGTGTACGCATCAAACCAGCATTTATACACACTGTGCATTGATTAAAAGCCAACCACTATACGTAGCTGTCATTTTTCTTGTGCAACAAAGGAGAAATCAATTCCTGAACACTCGGGTTTTGTTTTGTTTTGGCATAATGCATTAATGAACCCTGAAGCAAATACACTTAGCTGTGCATGACTAACGTGATGAAGATGTAATATCGATGTTTCTACACTCATTAAATCACAGCGTGGCCAGTGGTGGCTACTTACGCTAGTGTTATGGCAGCATCGCTACTTTTGCTAGTAAACATGCACTCGGTGTGGCTACATTTTTAACAAGGCACATGTTTGCATATCGGGCCTGTGGCATTTCTGCGAAACAAGAAGTTATTTTTTTTAAGAGTTTGTCCTGTGTACAAAGAAAAACGAGCGGAAGTTGAGCGATGACATACTGGCTTACCGAGAAACTTGTAAATATTTGAAGACCGGTAGCCTGGCATGGCAGGTGCATTTCAACATTTGCTACTGGTATCAACTTCCAGTTTTGGATGTCCTTTCATAAACACAGAAATGTCCTTTCCAGACATGAGATTTATCAGACTTTTGTCTGAAATCAGACTTTTTGAATCTGAGAGACAAACATTATCATTTAAAAAGAATGTATCTTTCTCATGTTCGTACAGTTTTCAGGCCCCCCTTTTTTTTAAATTGACAATCTCATTCCCACATTTGATAAATTGTTCTTTTATCAGTCTATAACTTGCACCGCCAAGACTGGTTTTCATAGAAAAGAAAACTCATCAATCAAGAAAAAAATCTTGTCTCGTTCCCAAGAAAAATGCCCTCCTTTTTCATGGGAGTGAGACAAGAAAATATCTTTGAAACAAGAACCCGACATTTTCAAATATTAGGAAATTTCATTTTTGGCAGTGTTAAAAGAATCGAACAAGTTACATGTATTTAAGATGGCTGCAGTATTACTCTGTCTGGGATATTTCTTTCCGCCAGTAAATATGAGGATTTTTTTTTTTAATTACAAGGTTTCATTTTTTTTTTCTGAAACAAAACTTCCAGCTACATTTAAGACAGTAATAAATATAAGTGTTTTTGAATTTTAAGCTCTGTTGAAAAAATATGAGAAACTGAATGGATATTGAGAAAAAAAAAGTTATTTTTTGTGTCTGAGAAAAAAAAAGGTGTAAATTTGAAATCACAGTAAAATGTAACACTATTCCCTTCGTGTCCTGCAGCAGATTTAATTACGCATTCGCATTCTACTCATCCCTTCTTTCACCACTCCATTCTCCCAGCTAATTTACAAATTTTGCGCTCTTCCCCCTAATCATCAGCCGACCATCTCCCTATTTTTTTCTCCCTTTCTAAATGCCCCAGGGCAAGGGCATCTTAACCAAATTGGCTGGCAACAGAGACGGAGGTCACGCCATCGCGGCGTTATCAGTCCTTTCTTGTCTTTTTAACCTTTCCTCAAGCAATAATTACAAGAGAAGGATTTTTTTGGAGGGATATTTTTTGTGTCCTCCCATGCCAAAAAGAGAAATTGGTAATTAAAGCTTGCGCCCCCAAATCACCTGCGACATGGTGTTTGACCTTTACACAACAATTTGATGAGATTTTTGATTACTTGAATTTTGTTGTTGTTGTTGTGTTGGTGAGAGAGTGGAGCCTATGACTACTCATATCACACGTATGTTTCAGCCGCTCATTTAGTTTGCGCGCATGCGCACTCAAAATATGAAATTATGAAATACTGATAATCAGCAAACATGGATGCCTGCAGTCGCAGTTTGACCCACTGAAGTATCGGTCAACATCACGCTGGAAGTACTTTGATCAATTTTTCTTTCCACGTGGACAGGAATTTAAGGCAATCAAAGTCACTTTTGCAAACCTTAGCGCAAAAAAACAGAGAGTATTTCATGCATTTTGTTTTGTTTTTCCGTGTCGTGTAGTAAGACAGTATTGGGTAACAAATTCAAAACAGGCGACAGTTTAGGGGATAATTTTTCAGTTTTGCTGAGCAATTGTAAACTTGTCTTCACTGAAAAATGGTAAAGGATGCCACGGAAAGTGCGTTGTATAAATTTCATTTAAGTCGGAAACCGTTTCAAAGAGAAAAGTAAGGTCTCACGTTATACGTTTTTTTCGTTGAATGTAACGTTATTGTGCACGTACCTGTACACAGACCCTGGAATCTGGCCCGTAAACATGGCTAGCCACGCGCCGCGGCGCTCCGTTTGTAATCTTTCGACGCGTTGGAAATGTATACATTTAACTGAAACGATTTACAACTGACTGGTTCCCGGCCCTGAATTGCAGTTAAGTACGATCATAGAGGGCACTGGGACCAGTTTATTTGTGCACAAGCTTTCAAAATGGGTTTACTCGAAAAATGACGATTTTTATAAGCTACAGTTTAGGGGATAATTTTTCAGTTTTGCTGAGCAATTGTAAACTTGTCTTCACTGAAAAATGGTAAAGGATGCCACGGAAAGTGCGTTGTATAAATTTCATTTAAGTCGGAAACCGTTTCAAAGAGAAAAGTAAGGTCTCACGTTATACGTTTTTTTCGTTGAATGTAACGTTATTGTGCACGTACCTGTACACAGACCCTGGAATCTGGCCCGTAAACATGGCTAGCCACGCGCCGCGGCGCTCCGTTTGTAATCTTTCGACGCGTTGGAAATGTATACATTTAACTGAAACGATTTACAACTGACTGGTTCCCGGCCCTGAATTGCAGTTAAGTACGATCATAGAGGGCACTGGGACCAGTTTATTTGTGCACAAGCTTTCAAAATGGGTTTACTCGAAAAATGACGATTTTTATAAGCTACAGGTTTCCTTCTTACATCAAATCACCTGTAAAATGAAAAAAATCTACCATCCTTTCCAATGGTACTACAGCTGATCTAAGGTAAACCCGGCAAATTGTCCAAATGTGTAAACCAAACTCAAAAGCGAACGATGTTTTTCCTTTTCATTTTGTACGTTTTTTGTCCATAATTGTTATTATTTTTTTTATATATTTGAAAAGGTTTTTAGCGCCGTTACCACACTGTAGAGACAATTTATATCTTTGTTCACTTGGTCTACTGATAAGTTTTGGTTTGAATCATCTTTTAAGTACGTTTGAGAAGGATACATTTTAAGACATGAAAACCAGACAATCGTTCAGTGCGTCGTCTGCTACCGCTGTTTGCAAGCCGACGATGCGGAGGAAACCATTGCGTATGCGTGAGAAGACAAACTAAATGCATGCACGGTCTATGGGCTGAAACATACGTGATCACCACTAGGCTGCTTGTCTCACTTGGGGAACTCAAGGGAGGATCCAGAGCCAAATTTTCGGGGGGGGGGGGGGGCAAGAAGGCTCAATTTTTTTTTTTTTCAAAAAAGGGAAGGGGATTAGTGTATGATACGCAACATTTTAATTTATTTCCAGAAAAGGTGTCTTCACTGCCATTTGGGGAACTCCAACATTTTTAGAATCCATTTCAATTCTGTTCATGATTCAGAATTTTAGTTTAGGATTAACTCAGAAGCTGTAGAACAAAAGGGACATAATAATAAACTCCACATTCCTTCAAACGAAAAGCTAATTCTTTCCTTCTGAACCGCTGAAACTCTCCATTACTTTCTTTCCTTTTGTTTCCGTCCTACATTTCTTTTACTTGGCTCTTGTAACAAAATTAAATACATGTATAACTACCATCTCAGATTTTGTAGGTCTTCAGTTACTTTTGGTTGGAAAGATGCAGTTCGATTCCCCATCTGAATGACTTGGCTATGGCTAGTAGTAGCACGTGTCTATGGCAAGCGGCTTCAGCGGCTTCCATAGGTGTATGTGTAATTTTGCAAGCCGTAGCCAAGAAATTTGGACGCTGCAAAACTTGCAGTTCCTATAGAAAGCATACATTCAATGATGCATTCAGGGCCAAATTTCACAGCGCTGCTAAGCACAAAAATTTGCTTAGCACAAAAAAGTCTGGCTTATAAAAGCATGTTACCAGCCAAAACTCCATGCGATTTTCATGCTAAGCAAACAACAGCTGCATACTAATCACAAGCAATATACATCACATGAAGTTTTGGCTGGTAACCTGCTTCTATAAGCCAGACTTTTTTTGTGCTAAGCAAATTTTTGTGCTTAGCAGTGCCGTGAAATTGGCCCTAGGAGTCATCTAAGTAAATTTGTCAAGTTCCATTTCTCAACTTTCAGGGAAGAAGACATAGAGTGTATTTTTTTTTCCCCCAAAGAAATTATTTGAGAGCAAAAACAAAATTAATCACCTGTTCTCCAAAAACACCAATTTTTTTAACTAATGTTTTCTTTCCGGGAGTATCCATTACACTGTTTTTATTTTAGGCTTCGTAGTGACCGACTGAATAATGGTGGGAAGATAATTCTGAAATGGCCAAAATGAAGGAAGGTTTCAAACATGGACATTGTTGGGCAGAGGAGGGCGCTGTTTTATATTACCAGTGGCTGTGCACATGTGTTATTGTTCCAACAGCATTATATCTTCAGTAACAATTTGTTGTTGCATCTCACAAGGTTGAAGCGGGCATAGTGCCTCTCACAATCAGTTATTTTTTTCCCGCGTTTTGCACACTTGCAGTTCTGACCCAAGTACACATGTAGAAAGTACAAGAAAATAAAGAGCTTATGCATGTTTAAAAACTAATCTTCTTATGGGAAGACAGAGATTTAATTCTAATTTTACATCACCAATTGCAAAACATTTTCTGCAGAAGTCAAGGTGCAAAGATGTAAACAAGTCCTAAGGAGTCAACCTCGTCCCCAGTGCTTACTTTTTTTCCAACCGCGTTTCCAATAGTAAGCCCTGGATAGGAAACTTTCTTCCTGTATCCTGATTCGTTACCGCAATTTGCTAGTAATGGATTTATATTGTGTAGTTGGTGTTGTTTTTTCCAACGTGCATTACGTGTTTTCACAATAATTGCAATTCTAACGTCCACGCCTTCTCAATAATACTCCTTTTCTTTCAAGTTTGCTCATATTAATATGAAATGTGATACTGCATATTGGCGGGCCAGATTGTAACATTTTAACTTTAAAAAAAAATTGTTTTTTTTATAACTCACGGCGCGACGAATTGATGCTGTTTTTACCCCAGACACCGCATACAAAAACAAACGCTAATGTAACGCGCATGCAGGCACCAGACTATTCCTCATTTGCATACGTGTTCAAAAATCTTGCACATGCAAATGATCCAATACCAGGGTGAGAGAGCAGGTAGTGGTGGGCGCGTACTGCTCGACACCCTGGGGACGAGGTTGCTAACGAGTTAACCACAATTCACATCACAAGTCCATAAAACCGTGACAAGGGAATTCCTTTGTCATTGTTCATTCCCTGCTAACTTCACTTGGAACTTTTGTGATTGACATCTGATTGGCTTGATGACGTCTCTAGTAAAGGAGACTCAAAACCAGTGCTGTAGTCCAATCCATCACAAGTCCCTTCACTAGTCCATTTCACAAGTAACAGGTAATCAACAACAAGAAAGGAGTGTTCTCGTCACAGTTCAATTGAATAGCTTGTTGACTGGGGACTGGAAAACATGTGACTAACTTGTGATTGACTTTTGATTGAATTGTGATGGACTCTAGTGCAATATTTATGTATATATTTCTTTATTTATGATTATTCGGCAATAGACCTTTCTCATGCTGCCACCATTTCAGTCATGTTCCCTGTATCCAATGACAGTACTGAATGATGTTTTTGTGCGAATAGGAACCAGACTATTTTTTCCTTCCAGCCTCGCTTTGGTTACGTTGATTTGACATGATAATGGTCTATTTGCCAGAATAGTCTATGAAAGTCTTTCGACTTTTGGGTCCCTTAGTAGAAGATGTGGAAGGAAATTCAAGTTTTTAGTGGTGGGAGGAAAACCCCAGAATGATAGTCTGGGGAAAACCCACAAAAAAATCGAACCTAATCCACAATATTGACCCAGGCGGGATTCGAACCCGGGTCACAGCGGTGGAAGGCGAGGAAGATGTCGATATGCCAACCTGATCCCAACCCACCCAAAACATTGACAATTTCCTTCAGAAATCGCACTACTTTGCTCATAGTACTCCCTTCATTACAAATACAGAATGTACTCGGCTTACATTTCTACGTTTCCTCACTCATTTTGACACAGGGATGAGCAGTGTTGAAACCCAAGCTGGAAGTGACATCTCTGGTCAAGATGGCGAACAGTTGGAGGAAAAGAGGCCGACTACCATTTGTGCAATGGGCCAGGTTTTCTGTTGCTATGACTATTTGCTGTAGTCTGCCGGTTACACCTCTATGTTCCGACACCCCTATGTTCCGACTGCACATATTCCTATTCCTAACCCTAACCCTAACCCTAACCGGGAGTAACACAATCTAGGTTGTCGGAACATAGGGGTGTCGGAACATAGAGCAGTCACCAGTCTGCCAACTGCAAAAACTTAAGTCTTAGCCACAAAATTGCCTATAAGCTTTTTAGGATTTGATTTAAAGACAAATTTGAACTAAACCTTAAAGAATTGGACTAAATTTCAATTTTGAATTAAATGTGCTTTATAAATATAATTTGCTTCACATTTTGTTTTGAATAAGAAATATTTAATCTTTATGACATTTTTCCATTTACTTTATATACATCTGGACAATACCTTCACACAGAAATTGGTGTAGCATCCCTGTCATTTGGCACGTGGTCCATACATTCACAGAAAGCAGATGTGAAAAAAAAGTGCGTCTTCGGTTGACTACACCAGACGTTTCTGTGTCTCCCAGGAAAAAAGCCTCCACAGTACGAAAGCGTGTCGGCCACCGTGCCAGGCGCGAGAATCACCGGACGGTTTCCCACGCTCCACTTCCTTCCAGTTAGCTCGCCTGGCACCTCGTTGCCTCTCAAAGTCGCATACCGCAGCAAAGCGTAATAGACAAGCATGCCAGCCATGCTGCACTCATTCTCCCTTCATATGGTTGGGGGCATCTTGGGAGCAAGGACCACCATAGACATGTTCCCCCAGTCCCCCGAGCATTCTAAAATGCGCCAATATTCTTAGCATTGTCCCCGGATATAAATCTGCCAGATTTTGCCAACATTGAAGCAGAGTCATTGGCTACTAACAGGGTTCGACCTTAACTTTTCTTTCACTAGCCAACCGTGCTACTGAAACAGACTATTAACTGGCCCGCAGGCATTTTCACTAGCCCGCATGTTTTTAAAAATTTTTTTTTAGCTCAAATACAAAGTGGCGTACTTTCAGGCTCAATTCTGTCGCAAATTTGTCAGTGTTTTTAATAAACAGATCTAATAGTTTAACCTTTTAAAAGAGTTGATAAAATTAGACACAAATTGATACATGTTTGCTTTCTGAATTTAATGATATATTTCTTCCTGTCCTTTCATCTTTGCCGTATCCCAATATTTTTTGACTCGCAAGCCGGGCTACTTAAGGAATAGTTTGACTAGCCCACTGCTGTTTTGACTTGCATTTGGCTAGCGGGCTTCCACTAATTTCAAACCCTGCACTAATAAGATTGTTTAATGTTGCTCCTCTGGTCCCTTTTACCAAATGTATTCTTTTCTCCTCTTAAATTTTAAATTCTGTGTTTAATTCTGGGAAAAAAACCCCCAATAAAACCTAAAATTTTATTCTATTTTGGGCAACGGCAATTCTCTGGAAATGTTTTTATTTTATTCTGGGTTAAAATTTGAAGGTTTACATGGTGAATGTAGTAATAAGGTAAAGGTTTCCGGTAGCACCATGTGACAAATCTCCTTTGTGAGTTTGTGCCTTAATTATTGTCAAAATCAAAATAAGTAGAAATTGGTATAGTAATTATTCTGTAACCAAATATGGACTGATTTTATTCCCAGAGACATCTCACTCCAATGTGAACAACTTTTTGTATTGCTAGAAAAAAAATCGCAAATAAAACTAGAGTTTGAGGACAAACACACGGTGTTGGGCTAGAGGTTTGGCTTTTTCGCAATGTTGATTATTGTTGTTGATTGTTGATGTTGGTTGTTGATGTTGATTGTTGATTTTGATTGTTGATTATAGTTGATGGTAGTTCATGATGATGTCGCCACAGACATCAACTGAAAATGCGTTTTGGACATTTTTTAACCTGCCGCCAGAGGGCGCTCGAACACTTGATGGCGTCACCGATCATATTTTTGGAAAGATCAACCCACCCACAGGCTAACATAGTTGAAAGCAAGTTCATACCTTTTTCCACTTTTGAATTATTAGGCACTTCCGGTTTCGACCGGGAGGAAGGGTCATGTGATTTTCGCACACAAGATTAATGAAAGAGCATGTATTATCATGTCGATTCCCACAAAATTCAAGTTCCGGTCTGTCATAGTTGATTTTATATTGAATTTCAAAGATTAAATTTATTACTTTTTGGAAGTGACGTCACGTGACCCATGATGACGTCATAATGACGTAATTGCAAAAAAATTCATCTTCAGTGGGTTGTGTTTTCATGTATTGACAATTGAAGTTCATATCACTTTTCATGTTGACAAACAGTTCTGGGGAAGAATTTTGCTGAGAAGAACTAAAAAAAACCAACAAAAAAACAATAATACTTTTTTATTAATAGTAAACTCTTACAATAACAATAGGTGTTGGGCTCAGGCCCAACACCTGAAAAGGGTAGACTTGGGGTGGAAATTGATAATAGCATGGTAAGAGAAAATTTACGCAAGGATTTAATATTTACACTCTCTCATCAATACACTGAAAGAATGCAGCCGAGTTTATTATTGCGAGCTTTTGACAAACGTGAAATTTTTATGGATGAAACATTGGATGCATGCAGTAAAATTGGATGCATGCTAAATAAGCAGGGTACCTTAATTCATGGTCAGATCATTATTCAAGTGTGGATTTGTAAAATAGGATCCAAATAATAAGAAGTTGATAAATTAATTATTCCATAACCAAATGGACTGATTTTTCCCCGCGAGATATCTCACTCTAACTTTTATATTGCTAGAAAAATAGCAAATAAAAAAAAGGTAGTTTTGGGGGTGAAAGTGATAACAGCACAGTAAGAGAAAATTCAAGTAAAGGCTTATTTAATTATTTTCACTCTTTCTTGTCAATATGCTGAAAGAATGCAGCTGGGTTTATTTTTGTGAGCTTTTGATATTTTTTTTGGGTAAAAACATGCAATTTTTGTGGATGAAAATGTAATTGGACTGAGGGTGCATAACAAAATGTAAATTTAAAGATACAAAATTAAAGTAACATTGGATGCATGCTAAATAAGCAGGGTACCTTAATAGATTGTCAGATTATTATTCAAGAGTGGAATTTGTAAAACAGGACATCAATAACTTGAATGCTTTACAACTTGCATATTTAAGAATTATATTTGAAATCAATTACAAGGATGACAACTCATATGAATACATAAATGTTTGTGTACTTTTATTTTGAAAACAAAATAAAAAGATGTTGAATCCATGGGATCAATTCAATTGACATTGACATTTATTCTTATTTCTTCAGCAATTTTGCTGGTTAATAAAAATATGTGCATTATATTTCTTCATGAAGTGACACCATGCCCTATAAACAGCAAGATATGAAGTAGGATAGACCTTTATCATGCTGCCACCATTTCAGTCATGTTCCCTGTACCCAATAACAGTACTGAATGATGTTTTTTTGTGCATAAAGGCACCAGACTTTTTTTACTTCCAGCCTCGCTTTGGTTACGTTGACTTGAATGGGATATACCCAACTGGCCGCAACATGATAATGGAGTATAGAAAGTGCTCACATTTTCGTGCTGAATTTGTGCAACCGATTGTCAGGTTTAACAATTTTTTTCCCCAGACAATTCAATAAATGCTATTTTGTGATCCAAGTTCTCACAAGTCTGCACAAGTCACATCACAAGTCCAGTCTCGAGTGACAAACTATTCAAATCAGTAATGAATGTCTCGAGACCGGTGTTGAGATCACTTTTTCTCCGTTTTTTGAATTGTCGGTCTTGGTCACGGACACTGTGGTCTCCACTCCACCACTGCCTACGATTGATGTATTTCAATGATGGAGGTCTCGAGACCAGTCTCGTGATCAGTTTTTCTCAGTCTTGGTCTCGGTGATCTCAAATCCATCACTGATTCAAATGAGAATTGACAAAGCCAATTCGTTGTCATTGATCATTGTGACAAACAAACTTGAGACTGTCATGTGACAAGCTTGTGACTGACTTGCGATAAACCTGGGACCGACTTGTGATTGACGGACATCTGTTCCTTGGTAAACGTGTGTCCAAAATGCACAAAAGTTGGACGATGTGGTCACATTTTCCATCATAAAAGATGTTTTTGGCATGTTCTGTTCATGAAGTTCTGTACATACAGTGTACCCAAGTTATTAATAATACACTATATTGTCAATTTTTTGGTAAATTTGTACCCAAGTTATTAATAATACACTATATTGTCAATTTTTTGGTAAATTTGTACCCAAGTTATTAATAATACACTATATTGTCAATTTTTTGGTAAACAAATTAATAAAGACTTTCCATGATAATTTCCTACGTCCACTTGAAGACTTCTCTGTTCAGAATCAAAAATTAAGAAAAGTCAGGATTTGATGAAACCCCCTCCCCAAGTCTCAAGTCACATTTGAGCTATGAGAAAATTTAAAAATAAAAACACTTATTGGGAGCTTTGTATATTATATACAAACGCCCACATTATTGACACACAGATGTACATGTTGTATTTACTACGCATGAAAAAAGGCAGATTTTACATGGGTAATGTCCAGTGCTACGCATTCAAGGGTTGTACGGGATTCAGGTACCCTGTTGAAGTAAAGCACGGGTATCCAAGTACCCGTAAAAGAAACCCAACCCCAAAATTGAAATCCCGGAAGTTGTCTGAAGGGCTTTATAGCTTTATGGTGTAAACTGCAAAATTCACAGTCGGCATTTGGTTGAGGTGCAGACAACCGATGCAAATCCCATTAGATATCTAATACAGTAGCAATATCAATTTAAGCAATGATTTATTTGTAATGGTACGCAATACCCCATAATTACAGACATACAAACTGAGTACTGGACAATTTACACAGTGACAATATGGAATATATCTCCCATTTCCCTATGGGCCTATTTACACAGAAAGGCAGTAAAGGAAAGTGGGAACAAAAACAGCATATATCATGTAGTAAATATTAACAGGCGGGTGGAAAACTACATATTGTGTGATTATTCAGATAATTTTAAAGATGAACAAAGAATTTGACTGGAGCAGGCTTTAAACCTGCGACCTCCGGATTGTCGTTCCAGTGCTCTACCCTATGTCGGTGGTTCCCCCATTTGGTCAATGTCTTTGTTCAAGGGGCACTAGTCAGTCGTGTCTTCTCTGAGTGATTCCAGTTTGCTATATCCCAGGTTAGCAGCATTAGTAATGTTGCTAGCATTGCTAATGTTACTGGCATTGTGAATTTGGGCATGATCCCTGGCTAAACAGCACACAGGTTTATGACTTGCTCCCCTTGAACAAAGACTTTGACAAAATAGGGGACCGCCAAAATAGGGCTGGATAGCTCAGTTGGTAGAGCACCGGACTGACAATCCGGAGATTGCAGGTTCATACCCCACTCCGTCTGTCTGTCTATCTTTTTTTCCTAGTCAGTCTCCCTTTGTGGTTTATTTGCAAAAAATTCAAAGATTACAAGGCTAGGTCATGGCCAGCTCAATGACATCATAACCAGAATGATGATTGATTGGCAGAATGATGATTCATCGCACTGTATTTGAAAAATTGCTCAGGTTTTTTAAGCTCGGAGCGTTTAGTGCTCTACGGTGCAAAACGCATACACCCAGTACAAACTGGCCAATTGAACCAGCACGTCCTTTTCCCTTTGTGGAATCCTGTAATCACTTGCAGTAAAAAAGGCCCTAAAATACACCAATTACCAAATCCCTCTGGAGTTTCTACCTTCCCCTCAGCCTCTGTGTCCAGCTGCCTGCCAAACTGCCCGCTTTGGCCGACCCTTCCGTTGCCTGCTGCACTGCCCTCTCTTGTTCAGCCTGTACCAATAAGAATGTGTAAAAGGAGGATCATTACATTACACCAACTCTATTGACAAACCAAAAAACTGGCAACACATGCCTATGTCAGTTTTAAAGTGTAACCACCGATGAAACGGGGTCTACCCGATGTTCCCCAATACCTATGTTCCCCAATACCGATGTTCTCCGAAATCCTTTGGATTAGGGTTAGGGTTATAGGGTATGGAATTTCGGGGAACATCGGTATTGGGGAACATCGGTATTGGTGAACATAGGTATGCACCCGATGAAACGACTGCCCCAATTTGTGTGACTCGCGTCCGTTCCGAGTCATAATTTCGGTGACTCAGACTTGACTTGAGTCATGTTGACAAAGGACTTGAGACTCGACTTTCATGATTCGAACTTGACACCGAGAACTTGTGACTGAAGATGATGAATTCTTTACCAGTACCACCTTTTAAAAATAAGGTAAAAATGTGTCCTTGTTGGTTTTTTGGCCATGAGTACTGGCTAGGATTCATCGCTCATCATAGATATTGTACTCTACTACGGTGGTGTAAAGAATGAATTATTATGCTGATCATTGTGCTGATTTGTATACATGTACATGTATCCCCTTAATTCAAATATGCAACTCATGACTCTAACTTAAACTCAAATCAAGTGACTCAAGAGTTAGGCTCGACCTTGGACACAACTGACTTGAAACTTGGACTTGAAGAAAGTGATTAGAAATGTTTTGCTGGGTATGCATCATACTAACATTCACTTCAACAACTGTTGTTTTTACCCCAGAACCGTTTGTCTTTCAGCGATAGTCACATCACAGCTCCTAATTGAAACTCTCAACCATTCAATAATTCAAACTCAGATTAGTTAAAAAAAAAAAATTGGGTCCATATATTTGTGTCTCACACACAGCAACAGAGAACAATAAGAACCATTTCTGATAACCCCTTCTGCATATTACAAACTCATCACAGAAATTCAAGTGACATATTCTCAGCATAGTGGGTCACAAATAACACCTTCAGCAGATGTGGTTAGTAAAAAAGCATCTGGGAGACGGAGCTGAAAGGGAAATCAATTAATCCTGAGCAGCTTGCTAAGCATTTAACAATCCTTAAAATAAACCTGGGGGGGGGGTACGGGAAACTGAAACATGCTTTAAAAATGCATTGAAAATGCAAGTTCTAGTGAGGACTATGGTTAACCATAGTTTGATTAACTGCTCTCGAATGAAGGATGGTTGGACTACTCTAGTTGACTATTAGGAGCCAGAGCACGGGGCATGGTTCCATCGCTGGTTACCAATAGCCGCGCGCATCATAAAGCACAACGGGGAGCCAGGACCAAGAAGTTTTGTGATGGCGTTTTGACCCTCGTTTGGCCAGAGGCGTTGACATAAGTGCGTATTTAATAGTGCATAGGCGTAAGTTGCTTCACAAATCAACCACTAGTCGACTAATGGTCCTCATTCAAATGTCCTTGCTCAATGGTGTAAGTAAAGTCAATCGTGATTGGGGGGGGGGGGGGGGGGGAGGGAAGGGACACGGGAGTCGGTTTTTTCCAAAGAAGGGAGCAAGTTTGGTCACGGTTTAAACAACTTTTAAGCTCTTTCTCCTCCAAATTCTGAAAAAGGGGGGGGGGGGGGGGGGCGGCGGGAACAGATACATCAATAAGACATGTTGGTATAGTGTGAAATTTGGCAACGAAATGTGGACTAATTAATTGTAGTGCGCATACTTCGACAAACGTAGTTGGGACAGCACTTGACTGGTCACATGTTCGGATCAGAGTCCTTATATGGTAAAAGAGAACAGGAGTCTAAATTTCATATGACACGGGGCCAAGTTTTATCCATTCAATGACCCCATAGCAGACAGGAAAAATGATATACAATACAACAATTGAGCTATCCAGACAAACCATAACTACTAGAGGGGGGCAGGCATCCCATACGACAGATGCAACAATTATCAGCTGGTCGGCAGTAGTGATTTATGCCGCATCCTGAGAGCTGAATTACTAGGCTATAAGCCGTCTCCCTCGCTGACGTCAGCCTACCGATACTCAACTGCAGACATACATCAAGCCGTGGCGTTATGGTCATCTGCTCATCAGCTGTAGCCGGAGTAAAACATTTTATGAAGGAGGACGGTTCAACTTGTTAAAGAGGCTCTGTCTTCTCTGGTTAAGTTGTCGAGCTGCAAATCTGAACAGTTTGACACATTTAAACTCCGGCAAAATTCCTTACCCTACAAAAACTTCATGACATCAAATTTGCTAATTCGCATTCCTGTGAATTACAAACCAGCCTTTATGAAGGGGTAACTTTTTTCTTGGGAGTTCTGATTGCCTCAATTGTAATTTTTGCTCAAAGTCTCAACCTTTCCAAATCCTCCAACATCTTTCACCATGTAGGATCCCACAACAAAAGAGTTACCAGCAGCATTTCAATGACTTTGCAACAGCTTGCTACTACACAGGCGCCTATAGAAGTGGCTGTAGCCACTTGCCATAGACTTGTGTGTTACTGGCTGCCGTAGCCAAAGTCATTTGGACCTGAGCCACTTCAGTGTCACTGCTAATTCACTTCTCGTATAGATTCAGTCACTTCTCCAAAGCTGTGCACTCCGCCATGCAAACCATCACATCACATCGTTCAAGTGTCCGGCAACTATTAAAGATATCCTGAACTTGATCATTAAATGAGGACTCCCGTTTGCCATCAGCTTGCCAACACAGGACTTGAAATAGTTTGGGATGGATTGCTAAACACATTAACATCAATGTTGTGGATGGCTTCACCATGTGGTACATCTGGCAAATGCAAGGCTGGACGTTGGAGGGAGGACGTCAAGATCACTGACGTCAAAAACTGTCTCTTGAAGTGCAAATGAAAACGGATCATTCCCCCCCCCCCAAGGCCAACTATCAAGATGCCTCAAGATTATCCCAAGGTCAAGTGACTCAGGGATAATACAAAGAGTGCATACATGAAGGTCTAACACCCGTTTAAAACTGGTCTTCCAAAGAGCGAATCCAGTCGACCCAAATACAATTTGATTTCAGACAGGCGAACTTTTTGTACTAATTTTCCATTGACTGGACTCCGGAGTTGTTTCAGATGACTATAAGAGTTGTTTAATTTGGCATGTAGTCACTTCTAGTTGTATCAAATTTAATTCTAACCTTTGGAATAATTTAGTTTGGCCTTTCTCTGGAACACCAGTACGGGTTTAAGGATGGACAACAGAGAAGAGATTGGTGCTTTCAACTTCAAAATGAGAAATTTTTGAATTGATTTTAAAAGAATTTGTACGAACTTGATAAAGATTTATACTACTATTGAACAAAGAAATTGACTGGAGCGGGGCTTGAACCTGCCACCTCCGGAGTACCGTTCCGGTGCTCTACCAACTGAGCTATCCAGCCCTATGTTGGTGGTTCCCCAATTCGTCAATATCTTTGTTCAAGGGGCGCTAGTCAGAAGCCATAAACCCGTATATGCCACGCAGTCAATTTCCCTTTGCGCTTCATTTGAAAATACTGCAAAAATAGTGAAAACGTCTAAAGCATCTATACGAACGGCAAAACAATGAAATAAATTTATGAAAGATTGCACAAATGTGGGTCTTAATAAATAACTTTAGTTTCGCCAATTTTTTTTCTTTATTTTTTTTGAAACAAAACTTGAAGGAATGAAGAATTACAGATGTTCCTTTAACAGCCTGCGTATATCATTTCAAGGCTGACGTGACATCTTTATTAAACATTACATGCCGGCCGGACTATCAACATTGACACATGGGCACGTCCTGCGATGGAATGTCTTCTCCGTATATCATACCGGGAAAGCTTTCATAATGGCAGATATAAAAAAAATCCCATTCCGCAATCATCGTTAGAGCCATCTGGCTGCTGCGTCATCGCGGCGTTATACGAGACGGAAATAATGGCGTGATTCATCGTGCAGCGAGCCGTCCAATGACCTCAAAACGAAAAGCTTGAAATCGTTGACATGATGGAAGGGGGGGGGGGAGGGATGAGCAGACATTTCCTTGTAAATGTGTGATGCAAACACAGTGAATATTCCTGGAAAATCGTCTCAACGATTTTGAAAGGAAACAAACATTTCAATATCTGCGAGTATGATTTACAATTCAAGAGCAAATCCAACTTTGAAAGAATGTAGTATCCTGATGCCACTTCAGCGGTTGTGTACAAAGTCTATGGAGAGTCAAGAAAATTTTTCTAAGCATTTCCTAACAAAATTGGAAATGTTTCTCAGTCCCAGATTCAGGTTTTTTCAACATTTTTGCAATGACTGACCTTTAGTGTGATGATATATGAAGAAAAAAGTGGCGTCAGGTTGCATCATTCTTTCCTCCAACTATGGCTTTTTTTTTGCAGATGTTTTTGTGTGTGTAGCTTTTATAGGCCAACACATCTATCGACTATGACGAGGTTCAACACAATTACAAATGTTGTGCAAGGAACATGTGGTATGCAAATGTATTCATGGACCACCGTGGCCTCATAGAACAAAAGAGCATTACAGTTGTACGCGCCCACAATGCATGTTACTGATGCAACTCAGTCATTGTGCCGCCCCCCCCCCCTAACTTCTGGATAAACTGGAGGGGGGGGGGGCAGGGGGTAACCACAAAATTAATACTTTGAGTAAAACACCTCTCAAATACCACACTTAAACACGAAAAGTTATGATTAAGCCGTAAAAAAGTTGTGATTATTTCTGGTGACTTCAATTAATGGAGGATTTTGATGTCTAACAATTAGATTTTTCCAGGGGGGGGGGATAGAAATACAAATAAAGTCAGGTGTGGTATCTTTTAAATATTTTTTTTAATAACTTTCCCCCACAAAATCAGTGCAATTTGCTGTACTTTAAAAGACTTCAATAGATGTACATTGTACATGTATCCATGGTAACTTTGTTTTGGGTGTCACTTAATCGAGTGCAACAATGTTTCATTTATTGCTTTTTCAAGTTTCAATTCGTGACACAGTTCTGAGCACATAATCCAACTCCATGCGTGTGACTCCTGAGGCCCCAGCACAGCGTGTACACCTGACACAAACAGGCTTCCTACATTGATGGCACACTCAAATGGTAGGAAAAGATCACAATTATTCATGTCTATTTCATAATTCTGTGTCACATGCATCCATCATCCGGCCACACAAGGCGGACTGGGTAATTTACGGCGCCCAAATGATAATTCCGACGGATAAGGAATGTAATGGAGGCATGCGTCAGGGCGGGATAAGGCTGACTTTATACAACTCCCTCTGTGCGATGGGTGGGGGGAGGGTGGTTCTTGGTATGTACCACAGATTTCCAACAATCTCAGATGTTCCAATTACTTCCCATACCAATAAGATCGTGTAGATTTCGTCAGTGCACTCCAAGTAACTGAAATGGAAATAGCGCCCTCTATGGATTGACAAAATCAGACAATAACCCAAACAGGCTCATTAACCCTAAGGCCAAAAAAAAAAAAGTCTTCGGTTTCTGGTCTGCACGCGCGTCGCCGTAGCCATGCGCGTCGGCAAAATTAAAAAGTTTTTTTTCATTGCTGCACAATTTTAACCTGTTTTTAGATGGGGTTACTATTGAGTATTTATAAGCTTTATGTGGCCTCGCTGGGCTCCTATATATTTTGCACTAAATTGGTCGGGCACCATTTGCAGTGATCAGCCGAAATTTGGAGGGAAAAAAAAAAAAAAAAAAAAAATAAAAATAAAAAATGCGTCACCGCACCACTTTTGGGGCAAGTTCCATACCAGAAACCGGAGACTTTTTGGGGGGCCTAAACCCTTGATTGATTTACTAGGAACCTTCCTCACTCTTGCAAATTCCAACACCATATGGTAAACTCTACTCCCAAACTGTTGGACTCTGATTTTGGTGGTATGCCTGACCCCATGTAAAGCATAATCAGTTAACTACATGTAGTGCTCACTCCAACAGAATCAAACAAAATATTAAGTTGGATTTTGAGGGGTTGGGAGTGTTAAGGGTTAAATTAACCACACAAACTTGAGTAGTATCTGTGAATGTGCTTTTATACATACATGTACATGACCTTATAGGGTACTGGGAACAAAGAGAAACAATAGGGGCAATGGGACCTTGCAAGTTGGTCTATACAAATTCTGGTAACCTGCAAAAGAAACGCTATGGGGTTTGACATTTTAATTGAAACAAAGGAGAAATTCAAAGGGGAAAAAAGGTCGACAACAGTGGTACCCCATAACTACCCATATGTACAGATGTGATTGCCCAGTCAGACTAACACCTCTAAAGGGGTCTTTAAAAGGCGTATTTTTTATCTCAAAACTGATGAGTGAAATGTACAATATTTAGGGTAAATTGAGTAGAAAGTCGGGGACTCGGAAGTTATTCAGAAAAAAGTAAAACTGCATAAGAAAAAAACAAAGACTATTTTTTTATGTGTCTGAAATGCCAAACTCCTGACATAAATATGCATTTTCTCAACCAAATGTCAAATAAATAAAAAAAACCTAGTACTTTTATCAGGCAATCTACCCTGACCAGTGATCTGAGACATTTTGCCGTACACATAACCCCAGTTAAATAATTAGAATCGTAAGGTTGAGTACAGTACTTTGCTTTTGCCTAGTAAAAGATGGCATTGCATAACCACAACATGCGACATTCTATACAACGGTTATTCAAGCAAATAACTGATTACAACCATTGAGCACCTCTGCTTTTGTCATAAACAACATAGCAGTTAAATGTGGAATAATAGCTGCCACAATGCTGCAGCCATAAATGACTTGAGGTGTCCTACAAACGTACATTGACCTCTGTAAGTTTCTCACTGCTTTGGATTAGAACAAACGCTATTCCTACCTGTAGTCTGGCTTGGTTTGTCTTGAACGTCCCCAAGGGATCATCAAATTGCTTGTAGTGATCCAGCACTGGTCGCACGTCTTCCACACCGCTAACGGCTATCGCTGTGGACACCAACAAATAACGATTACAGAGGACAGTTTATAACGAATAAAGTAAACAAATTCTGGGGGCTAATTCTCCTTACTCGCAGCAGAAGCTGAATTGCGAAGGACACTGCTACAACGTGGACAACCAAGGCATGAAAAAGCATCCTAAGTAGCTGCCACACGACCCTTACTATAGAGCACAGTCTGACCGAAAGTGCTTTTGTGGAGGGAGGAAAACCGGAGATTCCGGAGAAAAACCCTCATTGCATAGGAGAGAATCAACGAACAACTGAACTCACATATGACCCGAGCCAGGAATCAAACCTGGGCCACAGTGGTGAGAGAGTGCACACTATACGCAATGCGCCACCCATCCCACATCCTTTTCTGAATTTTATTTCAGAGTTGCATAGAAGAGCGCAACAGGTTGACCCAACTAGATGTTGGTTTCAGACAGGCAAACTTTATGATGTATATAATTTTTTATATTTTCTAAGTTGTTTAGAAGGGCTGCAACAACTGAACTTTCATGTGAAGTCGCTGATAATGGTATCAAACAGCAAACCTAATTCTTATTTTGGAATAATAATTTGCCAGCGCAAATCTGAAAATGTTAGTCTGAAACAGGTACAAGACAATAATAGCCCAGGTTATATGCGACAAAAGACCCATAAACTTTGTAGAAAACAGAACAAGTCTGTTTTCTAAGATTTTTAGTTTCTCCAACAGAATTTTAGTATTTCAAACTGATAAAAAAGATGAAAGTTCTTTGAAACAAAGTCTGCAAGGTGTGAAACTTTGTAACAGATTAGAATCACTGCCAAATGCAACAGCATCCAACACTTGTCAAAGTGACGGGCCTGCCTAATGTTACAAGATTCAGCAGGTCAAAAATCCCAAGACCAAAGTGTCTCAGAGTCTGTGGTCGCCAGCTGCAGCAGGATAATACTAGTGGCATTGTTCAGTGGGACTAGCTCTCATTGTCCCAGAACTCGCAGTTTATGCACTGGTGTTGATGGCCCAATGCAACAAGGTCCCACAGGCTATAACACATGTTGCACTGGGATTCATCTGGCAGGGTTAGGTTTTTTGAAATGGAAGGCAAAAACCCAATTTCAAACTTTACTTCTCAAAGTAAAGCAAAGATTCTAGTTTCATTTCTTGTTCTAGCGAAAAAAAAAAATAATACATTGATGGCACCAGGCCAACTGAATTTCTTACTTCTGAGGAAATCAGCCAAGTCCACCAGTACCCTGTCGTCGTCGCTTCCTTCCCACTTCTTGAGGCCAAACGCGTTCTGAGGCTGCAGGGAGAACGATTTGGTGTTCCAGTCCACAAAGATGACCTTGCTCATGTCTCTGTTGAGACACGAAAGATCCTGAAAAGCACAGACAACAAGGTTTACAATCTTAAACAAGTTTTACTCTGAACTAAAAATGAGACACAAACAAGATGTCAACATCTCCTAAAAACTACCAATTCTGTTCAGGAATTTCAGATATAATAATGGATACTTATGTAGCAGTTTTAACCGAGATCAAAGCGCTTTACATTAATATTACCCTGATCATTGGGCCAATGAAACATTCCAAAGACAATGTCAGCTCATTGGGGAGTATACAGCTCAATGCTGTCATTTTGTTGCAAAGCAGCTAAAATCAACCACAATAACCATCTCTGCCCTCACAGGTACCCATTTACTCCTGCGTGGGGAGAAGCAATGAGTGACAAAGAACCTTGCCAAAGGGCACACACACCATAACCCCAGGCTGGACTGGAACCCACAACCTGCAGAATTACCCGCAGACCACAAACTCCATGTCCCAGACCACGAGGCCACGGCACTCCACATAATGATTGCATGGAAAGCTCATAACTTATCTTAAATCTAGCATTTCATTTTGTGGGGTAAGTTTATATTCAGGATACCACACCAAAAAGCATGAATGTTGCAAATTAGTGGTAAATTAGGCCCTCTTGTGGAACATTCTCTGAAGGTTTAGGCTTTGACTGTTAGTGGGAATGGGTTGCAATTTGGGCCATCAGCCTCTAAGTTATTTTGTTTTTCAATTCAAGACTTACCTTGACGTGGTGGCCATTCATGTATTTAGTGGCGTCCCGAAATAGTCTGTACATGATGTAGCCATTGGGATCTAGGTTGTCTATCAGTGGATACCCAGTCTGGAAGGAAAGGAAAAAAAAATGAAACCAAGGTTTTTTAAATAAAATTCAAAGTAGTAAATAGATTACACAAAAATACATAAACATTTGATCTTTCAATTTTGTTATTTTTCTGTAGGACGAATAGTAGCCGACACAAATAACAATACAGACTTTGTGAGAAATGGCAGTTTTGTCTATAGGGATACTGACAAATTTTTAAAAATGGGATTTTGACAAGTGAAGTTCAATCTGGCAATATCTTCAAGAACTACAGCAAGTACTGGAAACACAACCACAGCGACAAAAGTTCTCATCAACAAATCAAAATCAAGAAACCAAACCGACAACAATCTGTAACATAACTTGTATTTAAAAAATTGTATTCAAAAGTTCATAAGCTTCATTTTGGTATTATCCCTAACTCCCTAGGCCTTTTTGCTAGGATGTAGCCTCAATCCTGCAAAATCCTCCAATTGGCCTCACTGAAAAAAACATGAAGCTCAATCCTGCAAGCTCCTCCATTATTTCTTGAATATGGTCCATGGAGGGGTGACCACTGCCTGAATCCTGCAAAATCCTGCGGCAGTGACTGTCAATATGTTGAGGCAGGGCCAGTAACATCCTGGAGAAGTGCGGAGGATTTTGAATATAATCTAGGCCTTCACGTAAATTTATGCACTGCTGAACATAAACAACACAAGGTCCGGCCCAAGACCTTGGCACAGTGCATCCTCCAAAATCAGCCGCACATTTTTTGCCATAAAGCCTCAATCCTGCAAAATTCTCCATTTTGCAAACATCATTTTGGAAGGTTAGGGTTTTTAAGGAAAATAATTCCATACCAAACGAGTAAGGATCACGCTGTAAGATTTCTGAAAATTTAAGCAAAAGTTCTGCAAACTTCTCTCAATTTACCACTTATCAAGGAGTAATACACACCACTTTTACTATCGAAATGAGATTTTGCAACTATTTTGTTTACTTACAAATCCCTGCTCGGACGTGTAGATGACAATTTCAAACAGTGGCGGTCCAACCTGCTGAAGAAAGTAGTCGACACCTGGACGTTTCTTGAATCGCCAGCCATTGGAATACTGAAAAGAAAAAGATTCAATATTAAAAAAAACAACCTTAAATGTACAAATCAAAGTCATGGCATTCACTAGTTTAGTAATTTTTAGTGCCATCAAAAAGGCTGTACCACGGTATCCTAGTTGTGAACAAAGTATTATACCATTATGTACTGGAGGCAAACATGCATGTTTAATAGTGTTGGGCATATTAAAAAGGATGAAACCATTATCCCAAAGTTAAGTTTGGATTAAAGGGAATGTACAACATTTGCTTTGCTGCAATTTTCAGAAATAAATGGATTCGGAGGATTAGTATGTTATAGAAAATATTGTTAAACTGACTTAATTCACGTTTTGGGCTTGTAGATGCTGGAAAAAACAAGAAAACCTTAAATCGTATTCTTGTAGTCTGGTTCCCTGACCCCACTTAAGATGAAACGGAACAATTAATACACTTTGGGAAATTGTAAGGTCAGAGAATAAGTCTAGCAAGCTTGAACCCCTTCACAGGTGTGTAATCAATTGCAAAGAAAAGTCAGAATAACTAAATATGAAAAAGTAGGAACAGTTTTTGAAAAAAGCCAGTTTTCTCCAACGCTGGTCGGCCGACCAGCGTTGGAAAAATACAGTTTTTCTTGAAAATGACAGCACACCAGGAGCTACGACTTTACAGGATGCTTTAGAATGTCAGTCCCTAACAATTCAGTAAGGTATACGTGATAATTTGATCATTCCGTTCTTTGATGTTTGCAAATGTTGTATCTTCCCTTTAAGTGCAAGTGAGTTTTCAATCAATGTCAAATTGATGATGCAAAATAGTTTTGAGGTTGTACAGAAAAAATGACTGGGACTTTTCAACCTGCAACCTCTTATTCAAAATTGATATTACAACTTGCAGTTGTAATTATACAAATATCCCTGAACTCTACAGAATACATAGGTAGGCATCATAAAACAAAAAGGGACCACAATTAACCTTAACCCACCTCAATCGTCTAAAATCCTCAGTGCGGTTTTGGAGGATTTTGGAGGATTGAGGATGAATGGTGTTTGACAAACACGAGGGTTTTGGAGGACTGCAGATGAATGATGCTTAAGCACATGAGGATTTTGGAGGATTGAGGATGAATGCATTTTGAGGCAGGACTGTCTGATGATTTTTGAAGGATTGAGGGGCTGGGTATCCTTCACTTGAACATGAGTGCATAATTTTGGGTTGAGGAAGATTCTGGAAGATTGAGGATGAATTCATTTTGAGGCAGGACTGTCTGACCATTTTGAAGGACTTAGGCGCTGTTGCAAGTTTGGAGGATTTTGGATGGTTGCCGGCTAGCAAAAAAGGGCATAGGGGCTTAGGGTTACATGTAACTTACGGTACAGTATAGATCTAGCCTCCCTTGGTGATCCATGCATCATCTCAGCTCCGGAGTTTAGTTTTACTATACCGCACAAAGCAGTCACTATTTGTATAATATATCCTGAACATTATCAACACATGGTTGGCTGTGGGATTTTATAAGTCAAACTAGACAAGTGTAAGCTTGTTTTTACCGTCCATTCTGGATGTACCAGTACATTGGTCATCTCTAAGACCAATGTGTAAGGAGGCTGGTAGTAGGGTTCCGTCAGGGGATCTGGGAGTAGCTTCTCAGCTGATGGCTCCACTATCATCTGGAAAATAACAACACAATCAATATTCATAAGGATTGCATATCTGCGGTTTGCTTTAAACAAAAACAATCACTGATACTACTCCTATGTATACATACACTCTGTGCAAAGTTGTCCATTCAGTCGAAATCAGTCAAGTGACTGTTCCTAACAGTTAAAAAGCTCCCAGCCTACATTAAGCAAGATAGACTGGCTGTGACTGTTTATGTAACTTGATACAGCTATGCTTTGACTGTAGGTGATTGATAAGCCAGCTGTGCCTACCACTTGCCTGCTTTTGTCAGTCGACTGAATTTGACTAGTCACAGTGCTTGCTTGAAATATGATCTGACTGTTGGCGACTAGCCTGTGTAAAAGGCATGGCAGGGGAAGAGGATTGATTTTTTGACTGTCTGTGACTTTTCAGACAGCAGGAGGGTTAATCTAGTACATGTACTGATGATTGAAAACTTACTGTTCTGTACTCCTTGACTTCCTTGTAGGCCCTCTGTACATAAGCGGTTAGGATGAACTGATCGGAAAACTCGTCTGGAATCTGAAGTTAAATAATTGTCGATAAAAGAAACGATTGAATTGAAAGGAAATCTAAATTAGAAGATGGATGACAGAAAGACAAATGCACAGAAAAAATGGAGATACAAGTATTTAAAATTTGGAGGTCATGCTAATTAGTCCAAAGTTTGTTAAACAATACAAGCCAAATTACAAAAGATTTCAGTTCTGGGGGTTTCTCTTATACTACGCCAATCATCACACCAAATATGGCCTCGGGGTGGGTGAAAAGTCGTGTTGAATTGACAGGTAATGACCCTATTATAGCTTTCAATAACAAATTTGGCTGAATTATAGACTTACTTGTTTTCCATGTTCGTCTAGTTTTGGTTGACCTGTAAATGTAAACAAATGCATTTATTTGAGTCAAGTGGATGTTATACAAGAATTCAAGTACTTACAAGTTACATCCCTTTGGAATTTGCCCTTGTTTTTTTAAATAAATTTTAGAAACTTTTGGAATGCTTGATTATTGCAACAAAATAAAAAAAAGGGGGGGGGGAGGCATTTAGTATTCATACGCCACTTTGTTACTTGCAATTACACTTCCATTATGCGCCTATCAATTGTTATCCAAAAAAAGAATATTCTTCTTTTATTATTTTGAATTGACTCCAACATCTTTTTCTGACTCGCGGCTATGGAGGAATTTTTTCAAAGGGACATCAAGTCCGAAATTGTGGTCTGATTCCCATCTTGTGAATATAGAGTCACAATGACAAAGTTGGCCCGGAACCTAAAATTTGTCACGGTAAAAATGTCTAAGTCCCCCCAAAAAGTCACTCACTGCGCATGTTCAGTGCCTATCCAGCAAAACGTTGTTTATTTATTAAAGAAAGCCGGAGCCGGCTAAATATACACTATGCCAAATTAAAATGTTGACTCACCAAGTTCATAGAATGTTAAAAGAGCTGCCCCACCCAGCATAGCACCAGTGATGCCCATGGCCCATTTCTGATAGCGGGCGAATTTCTCCTTGCGTTCTTTCTTCCGCTGTTCGTCGTCTTCTTGCTTCTCCTTCACCTTTTCCTCCGCCTGCTTCAACAGCACACTCAACGGCAGGGTGCTCGCGGATGAAGACGTTGCATCACTGCCTACACCGGACGCTGAATTCGAGGTCGGTTTTTGCTCTGCAAGTGAAACATGACAGGTTGATAATCGCGAAACTTGACATTTTCTGTGATGCAGTATATTTCTCTGGGGAGTGGTGGTCCACTTGTTGTTCAACAAATCGCGATTGGGGGATTTTGAGACCAAAATCCGCAGCGCGTTTCGGAGCGCACATGTATGACTGAGCGCTGCCATATTGGAATCGTCCAATATGAACAAGGTAAAATTCCAACGCAAAAATTAAAGTCCAGTACAAATATATTGTATGTTAATAGTTACCTCCCACCGAGTGATCGCAAATCACCTTATTTATTGAAATTCAAACAAAACAGGAACTTTTTTCAAATGTATAAACGGGTTTGTATTCTCGAAATAGACGTCGTGTATTTTTTTAGTGCCCCTCACTATCTCTAAAGTTACCTATTAACTAATGAGACGTACGTACACATAAAAGTCTGCAAAATGGACTGGATTTCGAGCGTGTCATTTCCGACTGCAGATTTTTACATGATAATTTGATATTAATTAACTAGACACTTAGAGCATAGAGGTACAGAATTTGATTTTTTCCTGCTTGATAACCAGGTAAGTAGCTTCCATATCAAGTGGAAAACAGTCTGGAGAGAGTGTTGCATCCTGACGCCACTTTTTTCATCATAATGGATGAAATTGAACATGTCAGCATGTTGAACGAGTTGAAGGTCAGCTTGTCAATTGTTGCCAATATGTTGAAACCATGGTTGAAACAGACATGAATCTGGGACTAAGAAACACTTCCAATTTTGTTAGAAAAGACTTGTTAGAAAATGGCGTGTGATACATTCTGGAAAAAATTCCGTACTCGGACGTCACTTTTTTCAATTAATTTTCTAGCGCCAAAAGTTACATCTTTGATGGTTATTCCTCCACTTTCCCTCCTCTACTCTCACCCTCTCCTTTCCTTAATTTCTACTTATTAATAAGTCAGTTACTTCATCGGGATTCGAACCTCTGACGCTTGCTTGATACACGAGACTCTTAACCGCTAGGCCGCGCACGATCGCTGTTGCAATAATCAATCTTTGGACGTATTTGAAGTATCCATTGAAATAAACTAAATATTCATGAGAAAATAAATATTCATAATGACGTATTGCACTATCATTGGCAGGCTCATGCGACGTCATGGTTGTTGATGTCACGTGTATAACATACCGCTGTCTTTCAGCCACTACAATCAGTTTTGACTGGCTGCTTCAAGTTAGTTCTGCACGACGTATGCATCCAAAATGTGCTCTAAAAACACATTTTGAGTAAATTTTTTTCACCTTAACACAGCTTCCTGGATTTCTCTTGGTTCAAAGGACAAGGTGAGGTGACCATTAATATGTTTGGCAGCAGATAAATTGACGTCCGAGTATGGAACTTTTCCCTACATTCTTTTCAACAGTCTAGATTTCAAATTCAGAGAACACAACTTTTCACCTTTTTTCAGGAAAGTTTTTAATTGCAAGCATCGAATTGCTGTGTGGTCCATTTGAGACACAAGTTATGCATGTTGTGGCCTGGGGCTACTTCTAGAATTAGAAAGGCACACGGATGCCTTCTAATTCTAGAAATATTATGGGGCTAGCTATTCAATGATAATCTATTTTCACAGATATCTGGATCTTGATCTAGTACATGGCAACAGATCCGGTAGGATCCATGAAGAGTCACAGGAGACGTTGTAAAGATAAATTTGGAATCAAGTGGTTACTGTGCCTTATAACAGTTAAAGCATAGGTTTTCTGCATATTTAACTTTTAGTGGGCTTTTTTATTTGCCAATAGGCCTATCGTAGTTTAAGTGACTTGTGTTTTGTAAACAGAAATTCAATTTGGACCTGTTTTAAAGAAAAGTATTACACTGTTGGACAGCCCCTCTTTCATCTTTCTGTTTTATCTGTTTCTTTAATTCAAAGGATGGAGGAATTGCCTCTCACCACATTTACCTTTGATCTCTGACGATGACAACCTGTCTGTCACCCAAGAAACACCGTCTTGTCTGTGAGTTGGGAGCTCTGGTCAGCCCAGTGGTGCAGCAGGAGGATGGACGGATACGTCACTTTGACAAAGAGACGGGCCTGTTGCTATGGAGCTGCGTTGCCATGGATGAGGTCAAAGTTCGTAATGGTACATACCATTTCCATGAGGAGTTTTTGAAACATAGACTTCAGGAGATTTTAGACTCCTGACTCTGGGCCTTTCCTGCTCATGGGTTTATGCCAAACTGGGACCATGATGGCTGCAAAACATGCAAAACAAACTCAGGTTTACTTTACTCACTCTTTAGATGAACAAAATCTCCAAAATTTTCATGAGGCAAAGACAATGTCCTTGGTATTTCACCAGCCAAGTTTGAAGTCTCAATTCAGTTTTTAAAGGAGACTTTTCTTCAACATTTTGCACCTGAGAGTGAAGCCAAGTGATTGCGTCTTGAAGCCTAAGACTAGATTGGTACATGTCCAACTGTTTGAAAAGATTGACCCTTCAGTAGTCCGGTGGCATGACTTTGGAGAGATGTGCAGAAATCGAGACAGGGTTTCACATCTTTCTTTTGACACAGTTGATTGATGCAGTACAAAAGGGCTGTGCCAGTCTATTTTCTAGTGTTGCATGTTTTCAGTGTCTTGGGAGTTGGGACTCTCATACACAGTATTGGGAGTCCCATATTTTTGGACTAGGTGCATGGCATGTTCAGCTTTAGGACAATCAAATCCTATAATATGAGGCTGAGGTTTGGGGTGTTAAAAGCTTCGTAATGATTCTTAAGCCAGAATAGCCCCATAAATATGTCTCAAATACCGCACTTCCTCCATACTTCGAGACAAACAGCGATGCTTGCTAAATTTCTTGAAATATTGTGTTTCCTGAATTTCAAATCTGGACTGTTTTTTTTAACTTGATATTCACTTACCTGGTTAATAACCATGGAAAATCAAAATGTCAAAGGTGCGTGATCCATGACCTGGAATTAAACTTTCTCCAAATTTCCTTTGAAAATTACATGATAACTAGAATTCTAGAGGTACAGAATTCAATATTTCCCTATGATTCACTCGGTAATTAGAACAAATTTATATCCTGGTTTTTGTTTAAGGATTGATAACTGCAGAAGCCGTGTACGAAGATCACGTCGTCAGCCTGGCTCCTTACTGTCACGCTGTGCACCAGTGGGTTCTTTGTCTCCAGGATGCAGACATCCAAGACAGATACAAGAAGCATCTAGAGTGGACGGGTAACACAGAGGTATGATCTGTGTAGAAATTTGCTAAGCACAGAATATATCTGCTTAGCAAAAACGGGTTACCGACCAAAGTGTCATGCATTGTGTATTGCTTGTGACTAGTCCTCTGCAGATTTTTGCTAAGCATATTAATTAGCTTAGCAACATTTTCTGCTCAGCGGCTCCTGAAAGTAGATTCCGACTAGAGAGAGAGGCAAAGGCAGATTTTCTTTCACGTAAGGCCGTTTTTTTTTAATTACTTGGATTACGGAATTTTTGGGTCCCCATTTCCGGCGGCGAGCGGGAAATGAAAAAAAAAAAAAAAAAAAAAAAAAAATGGGGGCGCCCTATCATCCAACATGGCGGCGCCCATAGAGACATGAAGAAACAAAAACGGGCACGAGAATGAACAGTCACCCAATTGGTGGATCAGATCCGGCAATTGCAGGATCACGATCAGATGGGAACGCAAAAGGTGGATCTGATCCGGCAATTTGACCTGTTAACATCCGCCCGGTGCACGAGTGGCGCGAAAATGTTGCGGTCTCATGAACGAAGAAACACGTTTTCAGGCGTGTAGCTCATGTGGACATTTCCAGCGTTTACAACATGCACAATAAACAACCGCTGAACTACGGGCTAGCACCGCGCATGCAAAAGCGCACGTGGTATCCTAAAACTACACTATAGGCCTTATTTTTGTTGCGTGTTCGTCCATTACTAAACCTTTTTCATTCCTGAAATTTTACTTATTTTTCCATCCATAAATGACTCTGAGTCCACACTCACCAAAAGACATCACTTTGGCACAGAATCATTGAAAAGCTTACGAGTATGCGATGGGAATAGTGCCGATAGCGCGGTACGTACGGGGGTGACAAATCTGAAGTATTGATTATAGAAAATTGGAAAATGATGTCGTAGTACATCATGTGACCGTTTCTAACCAATGAGAAACTTCAGAACCAGGGAATCCCTTATCGATGCATTGGTTTCTGCCGTGATGTCACACGTGAGCGGCTCTGTTGGATTTCACCTTTTAATTTATGCACGCACGGATCCTCTACGGATCCGTGATTTATGTTGGTGAATTCGCGTAATTTTTGTCTGTTAATTCTGATAGTGCTGTTTGAAAACTGACCCATCCTGGCCTAGCATGCAACAATGGCACTCCCACAGAGCGCGCGTAATTCCGAACTCAGTGACCTTTCGGACCCAACATTTCCGTACGAAAAGGTGGATCAAGCATAAGTGGGAACGCGACTTGCGGTTTCGTTGCGGTAAGATAACGATCACACCAAAATGCCGGATCTTGATCCGCCTTTTTCCAAATCAAGTGGGAACGCGGTGTATGTCATGTCGTTCGATCAAACCAGTACTAATACTATGGTTTACAGGCCTGGACAGCGCGCAATATAGAGTTTTTTGTACAATAGGCACTTTTTTTTTTTTTTTTTTTTTTTTTTGGGGTAGTCAGAATCGACAATTTCCGGCGGCGATTTTTTTAATTTTTTTCAAAATTCCGATTTTTTCCGGCGGCGATTCCGTAATCCAAGTAATTAAAAAAAAACGGCCTAATGGTTTTATTAGACGTCCATGACAATGGGTTTCCGAAGACCCGATATAGAATGGTCAGATTCTCGAGGTCAAGACGCATTGGTTTCAGCCCAAAAATTCTCCACCATTTTTTAAAGGAAATTGATTTTACATCACCAAGAAAGACAGTGCATGTAACTCTTTTTATTCCTTGCAGCTTTTCTTGGACTGTTTCAGGAAGGCGAGATCAAATCAACCGGTTGAAGCCAGCTTGAGCATATTGCTGTCAACAGCAGCCTTGGAAAGAGCTCTAGGTGACGTAAGTATGGTGGACGACTTTTCCTGCAACAAGCAAGTTTTATTTAAAGACAGACTTAATTTTAAAGGTGAACAGAGAAATTGACTGAAGTGGGGTTTGAACCTGCAACCTCCGGATTGCATACCGGTGTCCTAACAAAGAGATTTACCAAATGGGGAACCCCCAACATAGGGCTGGATAGCTCAGTTGGTAAAGCGCTAGAACGGTAATCCAGAGAAATTCGTTGAAAGTGCAGTGACAGTCAGTTTCCATAGACTTACTGTCTGAGAACTAACAGAGTGATGATTACATAAATATCAAAATTTGTTTTTCGTACCTTGCAAGGTTTTTCTCATGAAGAGTAAGGACCCCTGCCCGGCAATGCTCAAGAATCTCTTGGCCACTCAGGAGCTTGTGGATACCTTGGGAGAAAATGCAGTAAGTTGTTGGAGACTTGGAGTAATACATTCCACTTGCCAATTGTCAACACTGGGTGTGGTTCCAAAAACAAGAAATGTATTTGGTACTTAACCCTTGGTGGCCATAGCATCCAGAATTGGCCAATTTGAAATTCTCATAATGACGAAAGACAGCCAGTGTTTCCATTTTTTTTGATTTACACACAAAAAAATTAAGTTTTTTAAAATCCAGTCACAGAGTTCAGGATAAGAACTCAACTCAGTGGCACATTCTAAAGTCTAGAACTTTGGCAATTGTGTAGTACGTGGGCCCTGTTCCTGTAAGAGATCAAAAATCCACTTTTAGGTTATTGGACTTACCAAACTGGATATCGACATTTAAAACCAACAGGAGTGTTGTTGATAGAGGGCAGGTTTTTATTTTTTTAGGTAACTTTTGAAAATGACGATGCAGACGAAAAAACGCAATAAACATGCATAAGAACTTCACATTCCTACCTAAAGATACTGTTCAAATTACAAAAATAAATAGGGTAGTTAAAATTAAGAGAAGTCTGTTTTAGGTTGCTTGAGTCATTTTGAAATGATAAAAAAACACTCCCGACTGTGAATTGACCAAAAACTGAGACACACCGCAAATGCACAAAACCGTGTTGATTCGCATGGAATCAGCTATAACATGCATAAGAACTTCACATTCCTACCTAAAGATACTGTTCAAATTACAAAAAATAGGGTTGTTAAAATTAAGAGAAGTCTGATTAAGGTTGCATAAGTCATTTTGAAATGATACAAAACACTCCTGACTCTAAATTGACCAAAAATAAAAAGGGGCCTGTAACTACACAATTGCCGAAACTTGAGTTGGGAGGGGGCTGGGCTTTCCTCAATCCTCCAAAATCCTGATCTGCTAATCTGGTCTCTCATTGGTTGGTTTATTTTAGATTTCTCTTCTACGCATTCTTATTGGTCCACCAGTCAGTCTCAATCTGCGCAACATATTGTGGCATGGCTTCGCCGCTCCGGAGGAAATTCCACAAAGGTTTGTTGAACGCTTAATATTGATTCTCAATTTGGCAAGACAGACTTGTCACTGACTGACTGACTGGCTCCCCGACTGAATGACTGACTGGCTCCCCGACTCCCCGACTGAATGACTGATGAAATTCCTCAAAGGTTTGTTGAATGCTTAATATTGATTCTCATTTTGGCAAGACAGACTTGTCACTGACTGACTCCCCGACTGAATGACTGATTGGCTGACGGACTGACTCCCCGACTCCCCGACTGACTCCCCGAGTCAACAACTTATACTGAGTCCAGGGGTTTTCCTTAACTTTTTCCTTTACTGGCCGGCCGGGCCAGTAAACCAGAGTTTTCACTGGCCCGCAACCTTTTTCACTAGCCCACATGTTTTAATAGTAACTTTCAATCAAACCACCATAACTTAGCATTTTTGATAACATTTTTGATAATAAATCATGCAATATGAATACAACATAATATTGCATGTAGTTCCTTTTTAAGTGATGTCAATGTTTCTTTAATCGTCCATGCTTTAACATAGAGCAAGACTTTAATTAACAGGAATCAAATAGGGGGGGGAAGTTATAATCAAAATTTATGCAGTGTGCCTCGTTCCGAACTTAAGGCTTTAGGTGTTCTATTTCCGACATGTTTTGATAAAACACGAACTAAAAAAGCGTTATCTTGAGGAACAAGAAAACATTGCACACAGTCGTGGTATTAATGGGAGTTTACCAAGTTAGTAACTGAACTGTTTTAACTTGTTTGAAAATGAGTGAGAAGGCCAGTATTTTAAAAAAAAACATCTCTCGCACGCGCCATGCATTTCTAGCGAAGAATGGTGCAATCAGCGTGCCTAGCCAAGAAGCGCTGCAGGCGGGCGACCCACGAACTTACGCTGGTCACGTCAATCCATAACGTTTTCCGGAGCACGGTCCACTTTACATTCACTAGTCTTTACATTCAAAATAGGCCCCTCGAATCTCATATTGTCCTCATCTTTTCGGTACATTCGTTTGATAGTGTTCAAGAAATCATCCCAAGAATCCGTTCAGGCACAAGTTTTGGCAGTGACATGAAAGTTTTCTCCTCACCACGTTTTATGATACGAATACGATGTTAACGTACGTACGTCCGTACCATGTGGACTGCAGACGAAGTAAATCACGTGCGCTGCATGTGTGCACAATGTGTAATGGCAAATACACGTTGATTCGCCTCATGTTCGTCGTTGGGATTTCAATGCACAGCGCACTGCGAATATACATGGAGTGATACGAATTCGAACTACCGATGTTTTTATTTCGGTCGGCGTGTCAAAAGTATTCATGTGTTGTATCACCCTTAACTTGTTATTTTGATTGATTGAAAAATACTGTAGGGAAAACTTCGTTATTTTTATTTTTTTTAACAGTTTTTTGACTCGCCCGTCGGACTACTGAGAGGAGGGTTTTGACTCGCCCGCCGCTGATTTCACTCGCATTTGGCGAGCGGGCGACCGCTAAGGATAATCCCTGTGAGTCACTGACTTGCTGACTGACTAGTCACTGACTGACTCCCCAAGTCACCGACTGACTTACTCCCGAGTCACTGACTGACTCCCCAAGTCACCGACTCCCGTGTCACTGACTGACTCCCCGACCCACCGACTGACTGACTCCCCGAGTCACTGACCGACTGACTCCCCCACTCCCCAAGTTAGTGACACAGTATGACTGACTGATTGCCCGAGTCAGTGACTTACTGTGTCACTCCCCTATGGACTGAGTCACTCACTTGCTGCCTGACTGGGTTACTGACTTGCTGAGTCACTGACTGACTGACTCCCCGAGTCACCGACTTACTGAGTCACTGAGTTACTGACTGAGTCACCTTACGTTCACCACAGCAGTCATAGATGACTGAACACCACTGATTTCAAAAACGACAGTAAAAAGTTTCTTCACCAAGTTGAGGCTGATTTAGTGGTGGGTGGCATGAGCGGGCAAACCAGTGGCTTTCCTGTGGAATGTGTAGAGTCCCCTTTCTACGCACAGTCCACAGTGACGGTGAATTGTTTCGGCAACGCATTTTATAGCTCAGAATCAGCCCAACTGATTGAGATTGCGAATCACTTTCAACGAACCATGGGCCTTATTCACGAGTCGGCCATATTAAAATGAGAGTTAGGAAAAATCTTGATTTTTTGATCTTGCGAAGAGAAATGAAAGCAATTTGATTTATAATCAATTCCAGTTTGCCTCAATAAATAATTTTAAATTTGTAATTTAACATTTCCTAATGTTTCAAGCCATATTAAAAAAAAAATGACAGTAAAATAAGGCTGCATTGTGCCTGCATAAATATTCTGGCGCCATCCAATTCAACAGTTAACAATTAATGAATTGCAGTCAGGGAGCTCGACAAAAATGGCCAACTCGTGAATAAGGCCCATACCTGTGAGCAAATTAGGCGATGTTACATTTTCAGGATACAAAAGCTAAAAAAAAAAATCCTGTATATGGAAGCAGTTGAGCAGTTTAAATACAAATGTAATTTTTGAGTTGTAGTAAAATGTAAAATAATGCTAATTGTCTTTGCTTCACGTCTGTTTTATTCCCCGAAGATGGCATCCTTTACACAGCGCCCTCATTCGATCAAGAATAATGCCTATTGCACTGTGTTTTTCCCCCAGGTACAGCACTTTCCTCCTGATAGTAGTTGCAAGTTTAGGTGCTTGGCTTGCACAGCGTGGTATCACTGCCAGCTGTATACCACACAGAGAGCCACTCAAGATACCACAGACGGACACTGATGTCTTCAAGCAAATATTCCCAGGTCGGTAAGGTTGCAACCCAAATCTCAAACAAAAATTGAAGGTTTGCATGTTGAAGATAGCAATTAAATAAAGCACAGTACAGTGGAACGCCGCTATAACGAACATCGTGGGATCCACAGAAAGTGTTCGTAATAACGATTGTTCGGTATAGCGATTTTGAACTGTCGGTACCCTCTTTTGACCAATAGTGAACTGGCATTTCTCACATCCCACGGCCACAAGAGGAGTCATCACGAAACTTTAGCAATGGGTGGTTTTCCCTTTTATTCCTTGAGGAAATAATAACCATCTATCGCTCTTCAACATTGAAACACGATGTAACTATGGATCGTTTGATGTTTGGGAATCAAAAGTGGCCCAAATAGTGTTTAATACATGTACAACCAGTAGATGTTTTGTTAATCTGTTGACTTTTTTTCAACAACAATGTTCGATACGTGTTGTACATTAAAACCGGGAGCCAAGGATGATGTCCAGTATAGCCGAATGTTCGGTATAGCGGTGTTCGGTATAGCGGCGTTCCACTGTAGCACCATGTGACAAATCTCTTTTGTGAGTTTGTGAGGTTCTGACAAAGAACCAAGGGAACCATGTTGAGTTTTATGGTGCTACCGTAGAGCTTTATAGCCGTAACACACAGCAACCAATGAAAACTGGTGTGCAAATGAATAGGTGGTTTCATCGGATGAAGAATTTAAAACTGGCCTCAGTGTTTTTTCTTTTTATTCCAAATGTTCACAACCTTTACTTCATTTGGGTGTGCCATGATCTGCATAATTTTTTTTTTCACCTCAGGGCTGGGGGGGGGTGTAATCAAATATTTGGGTCACTAGTTGAGTGAAAAGGTTGTTTAAATGAACTATTTATTATTGATTTGAGACCTGGCTTGTGATTTTGCTTGTGATTTTGCTTGTGATTTTGCTTGTGATTTTGCTTGTGATTTTGCTTGTGATTTTGCTTGTGATTTTGCTTGTGATTTTGCTTGTGATTTGACTTGTGATTTGACTTGTGATTTGACTTGTGATTTGACTTGTGATTTGGCTTGTGATTTGGCTTGTGATTTGACTTGTGATTTGGCTTGTGATTTGACTTGTGATTTGACTTGTGATTTGGCTTGTGATTTGCTTTGTGATATGGCTTGTGATTTGCTTTGTGATTTGGCTTGTGATTTGGCTTGTGATTTGGCTTGTAATTGACGTGATTGACTGCAGCTCTGCAAAAAGAGTGATTTAAGTAGAAACATTCGGGGTTTAAAATGCGCCTTAGTAAAATTGCTCACCATGCACCGTCTCGATTTTATGTTGTATATTTTCCAATGTAATTCATCAATAACTTGCCTGTGTCTACCCATACATCAAAAATGGTTATGCTCTATTTGACTTTATAAATCGTTTATTTTTCAATTTAGAAATCTGCAATGATGACCTAGGTCATTTATGGGAGCTGTATTCAACCAGCGAGTTCTTCCATAAGCCCATGCTGCCTTACTGTCAAGCTGCCTTGGACTACTGCAGGGAGGAAAAGTAAATGCTGCAATCGTAAAAAATACAGAGTATTTTTTGGTCGGTGATATTCTTTAATGTTGATTGGTTCAGTGTTTGCCTTCTTGTTAATTTTTCTGTAATCATATGAAATCTGAATTACTAATATAGCAGAGTAAACAGATTGATTAGAAAACAATTGACAGCTGATTTTATTAAACATAGGCCTTAAAGGGAATTTACAAGTTTTGCTTTTGCTGCAATTTTCAGAAATGGATGGATTTGGGGGTTAGTATTTTATAGCAAATATTGTTACACTGACTTGTTTGAGGTTTTGTGTTCGTAGATACTGGAAAAACCAAGAAAAACAATCGCTTTCCTGTAGTCTGTAGACGTAGGGAATTGTAAGGTCAGGGAACCAGTCTAGTTGGCTTGTACCATTCATAGGTGTGAAATCGATTACAAACAAAATGCCGACTAACTAAAAATGGTAAATTGGGGGCAGTATTTGAAAAAAGCTAATTTTATTTCCTACGCTGATCGGCTGACCAATGTTGGAAATTGATACAAAGATACCACTTTTCTTGAAAATGAAATCACACCAGGTGCCATGATTTTACAGGATGCTTTAGACTGTCATTCACTAACAGTCCAGTAAAAATAATTAAGGTATTTCATAATAATTTGGTAGTTTAGTTTTTTGATGTTTGCAAATGTTGTATATTCCCCTTAGGAATAAGTAGGATTTATAAATTTGAAACGCATCTGAGGGAAAAGAAACAAGCTTGTCAAGCAAAAATTATTTACAGATTATAATTTTCATCAGTGTTGAAATAAATTGTGTTTTTCAGATATGGGATGACATGCGTGTTGCTGCTACCTCAGCTGGAGAACGGTGTAAGACGTTTATTTGCGACAGCCAATAATTGCCCAGACAGAATATTGACAGCTGAAGTGAGTAACCAAACTTTGAATAATTTTAAAAAAATAGAATGATAGTGATAATCGTTTCAGAAAAATAAAATACTGAGGAAAAGGCTAATTAAATTCCTGTTTTGTAGACGTGAAAGTGAAAAATGCCAATTGTTTTTCCTTAAAAACACTTTTATTCCACGATTTGTATTCTATTTATTTAAAATATGTACAGTAGACATATCAATGTTTTTTTTGCATTTTTTCTCCACTACGACTTGTGCCCAGTTCCGTCTGATTTTGACAGAACGCCTCACATTTTATGAACCAAAAAGAATCTTTTCTAAAGGCACATGTGGAGTATGGCAGTGTTTTATGCACCAGCATTCTACTGTGTCTATAAAATGTACTAGTTTTTTTAGACACACACTCGGTGAAGGGCAAAACCTAATTTGATTTATATCACCCCGACGCAAAAAAAAAATCCATCTTATAATAGACACACACTGTCGTGATTTGTTCCTAGTAAATATTCTCTTACTAATTCTTATCATGCACATTAACTGAATGGCGTATATTTGGCTGTACACAATTCATCCTTCCTCTGTCTTTGTCACAAATAATCATTGGAATATTTTCTTCCTTTTGTTTTTTCTTACAGTCAGAATATTTCACGACGTTTGATGAGGTAAAAGTTGTTTCTAATAATTAGATAATAGTTTCGAACCTAGTGTAGTCAAATCATGTAATTTTTGTTTCAAGACACATTCATACTCATTAGTCCCTGTAACGTCCCAAACCACCCTGCCAATTACTCCCTGTACCATCCAAAACTGCCGGAGCATGAAAGGGGCTAAGGAGTAATTCCATATGAACTCGATCAGAGGTCCCATGGTGACCGACTCAGATTTGGCTTTAATAAAGTCTAGATGTTGTATTATGAACGCATGCAAAATTTTAGGCATCAACTCCTAAGGGTTTCCGAGATTTGGCCCTTCAAAGATATGATGCCACGCCCGCTTTTTGCAGCGATAAAAGAGATTTATTTGCAAGGTATTGGCCTCCACAAAAACCTATAGTGCAATTCGGCATGCCAAGCCCGCTAGCACTCCACAAGCGTTGTTATAGCTGAGGCGCGCACTCATTTTGTTAACCCTATTAGTTGAGAGAGCATGGAGCGCGTGCGTACTACCTGAGTGCGACTCCCACAAGCCTGGTGCCACCGCAGTGCCACCAGATTTTTTGAGCGAAAAAGGTTTTATGAATGGGAATAAATATGTGCTGGGTTGGTATTTAACACTATGTTTAAGATCTGTTGGAGTCTAAATACTGATAATTGCCCTCGCCTTCGGCTCGGCTAATTATCAGCATCCAGACTCCAACTGGACTTAAACAGAGTGTGTAACACCTCCAAAGTACACATTTATTCCCTAATTAATCTCTTTCTTGATTTCTTAGATGCTATGTCCATACCTGTCAGATGAGACTGTCAACAATGCATTGATCCCAACAATTGGAGAGACTTACATGGTAAGGCGTATGCGTTTATTGCAAATTCCAATCGATTTCAGAAGTTTGCTTTCCACAGAAATCGTGACTTATTGTAGTGTTACAGGGTTGATCCCGCAAGTTTCTTTAGTGAAACCACACGGCTCCATAACACCCTGACATGAAATAGAACATATGATTTTCTGATAAGATCGCATTTTATTCGTCAATGGTAGAGGTACCGGTAAAGCACCAAGATTCTCGTCAGTCACTACATTTTCGCGTAAGTTTGATGATAAACCCATTGCCCTAGATTCTTGGGCTAATGACTGCGTCTGGAGTTTTCTAACACTTCTACTCTGGAGTCACCAAGTTCTTGTCATGTCCTCACAACTCAACTCCTCTAACCAACTTTTTCGCACACCCCAATGCTGAGAAAGATGTCACAAGCTGCCCGGCTCCAAATATGGGGGTAATTTTTAGACCGACCCCAAATAACATACTACCAAGAGGCTGTTTATAGCGCATATTCTTGAATCGTCAGTATTATAATCAAGGCTGAAAATGCCACCCCCGCATTATGGCTGCCATTTTGTACATGCTATACACAAGTAAAGATGTTTCCTGCATGCTATATATAAGTAGTCTTCATGTAGACGCTATGATATGCGTTCAGTTTATGCGTTCAGTTTGGCCGAATTCCTGCCCTAAATGATTTCACCACTGCTAAAGGCGGCTCTGGATATATCAGACGTTATGGCTGTTGTGGCTCTGAACGTTGTGGCTCTGAACGCCTGTTATCCCAGAATTATTTTTTTTTCCTAACAATACAAAATTATACGCATTTGAATGAGAAATGAAGGAAAATCTGACCATATGAAAATTTGTTTTTTACAAATTTTGAATTTTTGCGTTTATGATGCCCAAAAGCAACCCAAAGTAGGTCAGGTCACTCCCGTAGCTGTGAGGCCGTTAGGGCACTTTGATGAGTTTATCAGTCTCCTCTATCTCACCCGATCTGCTGCAGTCTGCACGCCCTCCACCATGCTCTTGCCTGTCCATCTCCGAATATCAGAGTCCCAGTTTGCTCTTGGTCTGCCCCATCTTCGTCTGCCCTCTACACTTCCGTGCATGATGGTGTGCACGAGAGTTCCTGGTCTACGGACGCCCAAAAAAGAAAACTAGTAGATTGTCATCAAAGTAAACATACTGATAGAAAATTTGTTAGGAGAAAAAAAGAAGACTTTTTCAAATACACGAGAAGAGCAACTTTAATCCATGAAATTTACTTTGTGTTGTGGTTTTTCAGGAGATGCTCCTAGATATCTTAGTCCATCCAGAAGGCCCCAGGCTACGAGATCACATCAGTCATGGGGAGCTGGACCTACAGACAATGACTAGAGCCACCACTAGCCATGTCATGTCTATCTGTGCGGCATTCTGCTTGAGGGACTGCCCACATCAGTCACTGATTCAGGTGAGATGAAGTTTTAACCCTACTAGGGCTTGGAAGGGACACATTTTTCCGATATCTTCACCTCACAATTAGGTTTTTGTACCAAGAGTCTGTGAGTTTTAGACGGGTGTCTTGCAGACATTTTGACGTAAATTTTACGTAAAAGGGACTCAAATTTTTGATGCAGGGTATCAAAATCTTGTGCTTTATGTTGATCGTTTTTCTCTTACAAGTGTAGAAGTTCGGTTAACATTTTACCATAATTTAATTACATAATTTAATTATGATATGTAGAGGTTGGATGTTGAACCCCCTCCCCACGACCAAAAAAACCCAAATGCTCTTTAGTTGGACTAGGTTTAAACCATCACCATGTTACGATCTAACAATGTAAAGGAACTGGTTTTGAACTGATTAAGTTTTGCTTGAACCAAGGAAAGTTCAATTGAGCCAGGATTCAAAACAAACCTCTGGACCTGCTTCAATTGCAAAGATTTCTGTTAAAACACCGAATCTATTGTGTGTCTTCTTAGATACCCCTGTTCAGTAGGATAAAAATGACTGCCGAAGACTACGCCCCGCTGTTCCACCCAGTATCACTCCTCAAGAGAGAGCTCCTGACCTTCCTAGAATCTCTGTCGCAATGGGTTGGAATAAGCAGGCCAGACGAATCGGGGGATATCGGGTACCAGACCTGGTCAAGCACAGAAACTGGTAGCGACCAATCGGCACGCGATGCAGCAAGTAGTTTACTCGCATTGCATGAAGGCATGCCCGGAGCAACTGAAGACCTTTTACAGTGGTGAGAATGAATCAGACTTCAAAATTCAAATTTTTTGCCTCTTAATATTTTAACACTGTTCTCTAAATCTCATTTTTTTGGGGGCGAATTTGAAATTGAAGGAGGTGCTTCCCACACAGTTGTTGCCAAATGAAGTAAGTGTGAATACAGCATTGAAATTACTAATGGAAATTGAATTTATTCTTGCATGCATTTATATAAAGAAATTTCAACATGTTATTATATAAAGAAATTTCAATCAAGAAATTTCAAGCAAAATTCTTTGCTATTTTCTTCCTTATAGTAAAGAATGTATGTTTTGAAGAGATGCAAATGATTTCATTTTATTTTGATTTCAATTCCAGTGTAATGATGCCTTTTGCTGAACTCGAGCCTCTAGTCATCTGTGTGTCTGAATCAATAGGAAAAACTTTGTTCAGGTAATTTTTAAGTCTCATTCAGAAGTACCCAAGAGATTTCACATTTGTTTTGTAGCGACCCTTAGGGTTAATTAACATCATCGAATGAGCAGCCAGAATTGTTTAAATATTACAAACGTTTATCATTATTTTTGTAAAGAATACAATTTAGAAGAGCATGTGAGGTATACACGTGGGGAAAAGACCGAAACTTTGATTGCAGGAAAACTGGCAAAACAGAATCAGGCTGTAGTAAACTTACTCAGTCTTGAGCAACACAATTTAAACAAAAATATCCACGTTGCTACGATTGGGTCCTGATTACTTGAATATGTATTTATCCCAGTTTTGGGGTCTTGAGTTAACCCTAACCCCCTAGGCCTTTTTGCTAGGAACCATCCTCAATCCTCCAAAATCCTCCAAAATTTTACAACAGTGCCTAAATTCTTCAAAATTTTCAGACAGTCCTGCCTTAAAATGCATTCATCCTCAATCCTCCAAAATCCTCCTTATCCAAAAATGTTGCACTTATGTTCAAATGAAGGGTACCCAGCCCCTCAATCCTTCAACATCGTCAGACAGTCCTGCCTCAAAATACCATTCAGCCTCAATCCTCCAAAATCCTTTTTTGAAAAAATACCATTCAGCCTCAATCCTCCAAAATCCTTTTCTGAAAAATACCATTCAGCCTCAATCCTCCAAAATCCTTTAAAACCACAAGGAGGATTTTGGAGGATTGAGGAGGGTTAGGGTTAAAATGTCAAAGCGAGTTTTTTATCATCCGTTTATTATTCGTCACCTCAGGCCCCGAAGAGAACTTGAAGTCGTATCCTTACTGCGACGAATCACTGCCCAGTGTTTAGCGTCTTGCCGTAATGTGAAGGACATGGCCGAATTGCGGTACCAACAATACAAAGCCAAGGAACTCAGGTCACGACAGCGAGCCAACTACACAAGGCTGCTCAACTGGTGAGAAACGCTTGATTATTAGCATTTTAGGTAAATTGCATTTTTTGGGACTAAGGATATTGAATAAAGTGGGAGTTGAACCTGTGTCCTCTAAAAAACCGCTTCAGTTTTTTTAAAAATGTGCTGTCTGCCTCTGGACTCTTTGCAGAATTACCCCCTTCGTGGTTTCACAGACAGAGTTATATAGGACTCATGAACATATAGTGGAATCCGGCGACCAGAATTAGAAGCTTTTACTGCAGTGGTGTCAGGCTCACTCGCATGCTGCCTGTGTTCTTAAAGACGAGGCGCACGTGCATTTTGGTGTTCCTATTGGTCGAAGGAGTCTGGTGTGCGTGTGTTCTACCTGAGCACAACTCGCACGAGCCTTGCGCCACTGCAGAAACTGGCTGCCGCAGGATTTGTCTATAGCTGCTGTATGAAGACGACAGGGATTGTGTACATTTTAATAAATTGAGTTGTGTGTACTTCCTGCCATACACATGCGAACCAACGGGCCTACACAATCCCCCCCCCCCCTTCCCTACAAAGGTTTCATGAATGGTCACATATCACCATCTAGTGTTCATGCATAGAGTCTGTTAAACCTTTCATTGCCATGTCACAGCTTAACTTTTTTTGCCAATCCGTGGTCGGCCAACTATTGCAGGCTTGGTCCAAAACAAAACAATAAATCACAAAGTTTTCAAGGTACCGTGCCATGATTTGTATTAATTGTGAATTCTCTGCTCGACCAAAATTCAACTGCCAAACATGAAGACAAGTTTCCTCCGTCTGATGGGCAGAGGTAGTGAATGTTTTTTGGACAAATATTGTTGCCAACCAGGGTGGGAATTTTGTGTATAAACTGAAGGCCGACCATACAAATAGTGCTAAGTGTTTACAAACAAAAGAAAGATCTATATACAGTCTCACACTGTGTTCCTTTTTTGGGGGGGGGGTGGTGGATAAAAACACTATAAAAGTATAGAAGTTAAAAAAAATCAGTAAACGACAATCAGTGACAGCTCACACAAAAACACACAGTTTTATACTTTTGTATTACCCAATAAATCCTGTTTTTTGGTTACGTCTCCCAATGAAAAAGTCACCTTACAAAAACAAAAACAAAACAGTTTTATTGAAAAATGTACATTGCAGTGGGGTAAAATTGGTTTGTCTTGTTTTTTGTGTGTGATAGGGCACCACCTCCCCCCTCCATTTGTGGAAATCATCAGGTTTGATCTCTCCCCACTTTTGGATCCATTTGAAAAAAAAAAAAAAATTACAAAGTGTCCACCAGCGGATCCAGTAAAACAAAATTAAACCAGAGAAGGAGCAGAGACAACTGTTGTTACATTGTTTTTGTAGTCTAATCATCCCGTTTCCTTCAACTGATTCGTAAAAAAAAGGGGGAAAGAAAGTGCCCCTACCATTAAGTTAGATCATGCCCCCATATTTTAAAAAAAAAATTGCAAGGGTGGTCAGCCACCTGGTTGGTGCACCACTGTATTCTTGTCCCCCACCCCAATCCCCCAGAAAAAATATTAGTTCACAGGTCCATTAGAGTGAAAGAAGTTTGCATTGAGTGCATTAAGATTTGAAGGTTTGCATGTTGAAGAGAGAATTATGAGTAAGTTTACGGTCGGACCATGTAACGGAACCTCACAGCCCCCCAAAAAGAGATTTGTTTCATGGCGCAACCGGAAACTTATTCTTATGGAGTGCATTGCTAATTCATGTAAAGTTGTGTCTCTACAAGTTAGTTCCGGGCAGAATTTCCATCCTGTCCTGTCCATGACTTCTGCTGAAGCGCTTATACCCCTTTTAACTCCCCCCAATAATGTTCCCTCTCATATTCCTTTCAAAAATTCAAAATATATACCATTCTAAACAAGGAGTGATCAAATATCAGGCATTCCTACTGCAGCAGGACTGTGGAGTGTGCATCCTCGAGTTCAGAGAGTCAAGTTACCGACAAATCAATTTATGACTTGGCCAGGATAAGATTATACAAAAAGAATTGGGCTGTCTCAAATGACATGTCTAGGCAGTTCCTTAGGAAGAAGAGTTAACATGACCCTGGGGAATGATGAAGGAGTCTTCAAGGTTTTTTTGTGAATTTGATCTGGCTCCCCTGAAAGAATTTTAATGGGGTGATTCACCATTTTACCTTGATGTTAATTACAGATCCACGTGCAGTAAAACGTGGGCTTATGGATAGGACCCTCGAGCATTTATGAAAATTTATTGGAATATTAATGTTAAAAACATAAAGGCTTTCCTGTCCATTGTCATAAATTTCCCACTAGGGGCTCTTCAGAAGTTTTCAATTTGCCCCTCTCATTTTTTAATCCCCTCTGCAGAGACATGGAGTCCACCCCAATTTCAGAAAATTCTTTGACTGTTGGTTATTAATTTTGTTAATATTTTAGATTATGGACAATGATCCTTGGGGAAATGGGAGGATCGAGTGGGGGGGGGGGGGGAGGGGGGGAAATCCCCTATAAAACTGAGGGTGGGAGATGCAAAGGACAATAAGATATTGCCTGTCTATCACCCTTTTCACTTAAAAGTGATATACAACATTTGCTTTTGCTGTAATTTTCAGAAATGGATGGATTTGGGGGTTAGTATTTCATAGCGAATATTGTTAGACTAACCTGATTAAAGTTTTGTGTTCATAGATGCTGGAAAACCCAAGAAAAAAAAATGCTCTTCTTGTAGTCTGGTTCCTTGACCCTACTTCAGATGAAACAGAGCAATTTATAGATATTGGGGATTTTCAAGTCAGGGAACCAGACTAGCTGGCTTGCACCCGTTTACAGATGTGTAAATGGTTGCAAACAAATTATGTACTAACTTTGGTAAATTGGGGGCAGTATTTTAAAAAAAGTTAGTTTGGCCGACCATCATTGAAAATTGATGCACAAATTCCACTTTTCTTTAAAAGGATGGCACACCAGGTGTCATGATTTTACAGAATGCTTGAAAATATTGTTCACTTACAGTCATCAAGTAAGGTATTTGTAATAACTTGGAATTTTTTTTTGATGTTTGCAAAAAAAGTTTAAAAAGCAACAGTGTGTTGGTAGAATAGGAGTAAAGAGTACTTGTAAACATGTACTCTACATAACCCCCGAGGACAGACACACAAAGGGAGAACAACAGATCCTTTCAGTCCTCGGGAGTTGGGTCTTTTGTTCAAAACGGTCCTCTGTAGTAGGTTTGTGTGCTTAGTCTATGGGAAAGTGTTATATTACAGGGACAAAGGGAAACACAAAGCATTGTCTTTGGGAATATAGTAAAACAAGAGTGGGTGGGTATATTATAATGTGTGTGTAACAAACAGGTTTGAACAGCGTCCCCAGACTAGAGTGATACGGTGATAACCCCCCCCCCCCCAAACTACACAGCACATGGTCGTGGTCAGGGGAGTCTTGAAGGGGGATGCCAAGGTCAATTCACTGGTGCTGTGGAGTGCTCTGGTCCAATGGGTATGGTGCTCGACTCACGTGCTGTGGTAGGTGGGTTTGAACCCTGATGGGTAACATGGTGCTTGTGTTCTTAGGCAAGACGTTATACTACACTTGCCTCTCTCCACCCAGGAGTATAAATGGGTACCTGTGAAGGTAGAGACCAGAATGCGCTGATCTCGTCCAAGTGTATTCCGTCCAAAAAACGGTGAAGTATGATTTCATTTTTGCACGAAAGCTTTAATAGAACGTGCATACCAGGCAGTGTTAGGATTCCAAGAGTAAGAAGACAAAGTCAATAAATGTGTTTTCAGGTTAGAGTGACGTCAATGCAACATAAAAATTTGCAACCCGTAAATCTGCCAATTTTGTTCCTCAATTTCAGAGTGTAAGGACGCTTGAAGATATATATATCCTTAAATTGCTAGAGAAATTATGTGCACATGGCCCCCAGTTCACTGTAAAACTAAGTCGTTTACCTTTCAGGCAAAGAGAGATAAAAGTTTAAAGAAGCAAAACAATTTGCGTAACTCGCATTCTCTGGCAGTTACATTGTTGCTGTCCCACTTTGATAGATATTTTGTGAGTAGAAATCACATCTGAATTATTTCAAGAGGTGTTAGTTTTGAGGGATAATTAAGGTATGTTTGATTTCCACCAGCCGGTCAATAGAATAGGAGTTTTTTCTCAGCAGATTTTGTTCTTGGGACTGTTTAATAATTGTTGTTTAACTAAACGTAATATAATTAGTCTGAAACGGCCCTCAAAATATATATTTACAAAATTCAGTGATTTCACCAATTTCACAAATATTTAATTCATCTGAATAATGGATGTCAAGCTAAGTGGTTTACCTACATCTTAAATGAAAAGCTCATGAGTGTGCCCTTTCTCATGCATATGAAAAACTTACAAAATGAAAAGAAGTCCTTGAATTATTTGGTGGCATCTTTTCATAGTGTTCCATAACCCCCTCAAAAAACAACGACAAAAATTAAAGATCAATAGTAGAAAGAAGCTTGACCACACATCTGTTAATGAGCGAAGCAGGCCTGATCAGGTGGGATCTTAATTGAACACTTGCTGAACGTCCCCGCATCACGTCACAATCATAATTGCAGGCCTCACAGCAAAACCTGTACAATGCATAAAACCTATAAAGACCTATTTTCATTCTGCCATACATTTGAACATTTATAAAAGAAAATGTAAACAACTGCGAGTGTACAATAAGCTCTGGCCATCCTGCATGAAAGTCTTGCATGAAATTATCAAAATGATAGTCGGAGCTTAAAAATGTGATGCCCAAAAATGCGACACCAATGGCACATATGGAACACCAAACTTTAGATTTATACCTAGATAGATAGCGATTTGTGATAAATACCACGTGACTATAACATTACTGCACATATTTGTCCTCCATTTACAAACTTTGCATAAACAGCTGTCCAATTGTTATTTTTGTTAAGTATTAAATTTATTTTGTTTGCTTGTTTTGAAAATTAAAATTTTGTAGGTATATTTTATGGGAAACTTAAAAACTTTTGGTCAATTTTCCGGGGAAAGACCGACCGACCACCAAGTGGCATGTAGAAGCTCCTGCCAGAGCTTTAAAAAACCCTTTTGACCCACAGTTTTATTTAAATTGCCAAAATAACCACATTGTCAATATACATGTATACCTCTCTGAGATTCTTTGACAAGTGTTTCAGAGCTGCGTTAAGGTAACTATTTAGTGTGGAGAAGTTGTGGTAAGCAATTTGCTATATTTCTGCATTCTCTTTCTGAAAAGTGCACGATTTTGCACCATAAAAACTTATAAATGCTTATCTGAACTTAGAAACGTTTATAAACGTATATTTTGATTTTCAAAACCTATTTAAAAGCCTTTCTGTTGAAGAAGAGGGGCACTGTGAGGCCTGTAATTGGTATATTATAGACCCCTCCATTAGGCTCCGCCCCTTGTGCACACGGGCATCAACACATGTGCCTCTCCAAAACCAACACTGCTTGTTCCAATCACGCACGTTATAGGCACGTGAAAGCATGCCAGGCTAATGTGCACGCATTTCAAACACTAATCACGGTTGTGATTGGTCAAAATGCTGTGGGGTGGGGCTGAATGGATCGGCCAATCATTGAGGCTGATTCAAAAAACTATATTTGTCCAGTGTCCTGTATCACTATATCCCCTGTCCTATTTCCATCTCATCAGAATACCGAGTGTGCCAAAAAAGTGCAGCATTTAGAAAACAAATAATTCAAACTGTTTAAATTTTTTTTAACGAAATGATAAAAGCTTGACTATATTTCAATCCACTCTTTTTTTTTTTTACCCCATTTCATTTGGGTCCCTAGATCCAGAAATACAATCAATTAAGTGAAAGGGTGTAAATTTAACTTCGCCCACTCTCACCTGTGATGTCACCAACTTCAATGCTTAACCCAGATTCAGCATGTCCAGGTGAGACTACCAAGTAAGATTGACACCCTTTCACTTAAATGATTGTATTTCTGGATATAGGGACCTCAATGGAATGGGGTAAAAAGGAATGGATTGGGAAATAGTCAAAAGAAAAAATATTATACAGTTTTAATTATTTGTTTTTTGAATGTTGCACTTTTTTTGGGCACACTTTGTACTTCCAATTACCAGACACATCGACCTCCTACTGTTTTTCACCTCCCTCTCCAGGCCTCTCATTTGGATGTCTTGGGTCTGTCTTTAACCGGCGATGTTTCACCCGCTCTTTGCAGCAATTTGATTATTCAGGGAGTCCAGGGACCTCAGGCCATGTCCAAAGTACTTGGCTACGGCTGTCAATTAACACACACGTTAATGAGAAGTGGCTTAGGTGCTTCCATTGGCTTGGGAAGCCGTAGCCTCTTCAGGCGTGGCCTTGCTGTGCTCTGAGTAGGACGAGTCAACCGTGCAGTCGAATGCAACCAATCAATTAAATGTGTCATGTTTAAACTCCTGCACTGCAGGTTGTGTCCCCAGATAGAATCTAACCCCGAAATGCATTTGTATGCATCACTCATTTGGAAGGTTTTATTCTCTTTGTACTCTTTTTCTGTGGATTTTCATCAATTTTTTAGTAGTTGCGTTCTTTAAGAGTATCAAGTTTACTGCCAAATTGTAATCTCAATTGATGTGAACAATGCTGAGAACATGGACGAAGGGAATATAGGCTAAAAGCTTTTTTTGCAGATCACAAATTATATGCAAGACTCTTGATAATCAGCTTTATGATAATTTTGAACCTCTGGTAAATTTACTTGAAGGGTACTCCGCCATTTTGAGAATGATTGTAGGTGATGTACACAAATCAATTTTACTTTTTTTGTGAATCACATTTTTCCATGAACTTAACAATGTAATCCTTGCTTTTGGATGGACCCATTCCAGGGACCTAAACACGAAGCATTTTTTGGTTTTTTTTATGATATCTTAGCCTTTGTGAACAATCTTGTCATTCCCCGGCCAACCTCCTAGGGCCCTTCTCAATTCATATCCGGACTGAGTTCTGAACAAGTTGTGGACATTTTATCGGGTAAAGGTTGCAGGATTCTGAACAACTTCCCTGTAACCTTCTCACAATGAAGATATCAGTATTAGTGACAGTGTCAAGCAGTTGCTAATGAAAATTTCCCTGGAACATGTCCAGGACAGATGCGGAGCTTCTTCTGGACAAGGTGAATGATTCTGCCCGCTTCTTGTCCAGAACTCGGCCCGGATATGAATTGAGACAGGGTCTTATTAAGGGCCTTTTCACACTGTGTGCATACATTCAGCATGGTAAAGCAAAAAAAAATTGCTTGGCTTGGAAACTTGAGCAATTTTTTTTCAAAAATACGACATGATGATGCATTCTGGCCAATCAATGTATGGGTGGAGGGGTGAAATTTGTCGGGATTTTTTTTCTGATTTCAGGATTATTTTGTCAGGATTTTTCCTGATTTCAGGATTTGTAAAGAATCCCTTTTGAAATCTGGAATTCCTGAGGTTTTATTCAAAGGTGTTTTTACCTCTACGTAGAACAAAATAAGTGGGTATTCTAAGGGCTGTCTTTAATAATAATAATAATAATAAAGGCATTTATATGGCGCTTTATGTAAAAATACCTCAAAGCGCCTCACAATAAAAACTCTAAAACCTATAGGCGATGAAAATACTAAGATGGAAATTAGAAAGTAACTTAAAGTGCTATACAGTGACAAGTACTAAAACACGGAAGCAAACGAAACTAGAATGCAAGTTACTATGCCAAAAGAAAACAATTCCAACCAAAAACTTTAAAAAGCCAAAACACCAAACCAAACAAGTAAAATGCATAAAAACTAAGCACAAAATGTATAAAAAAAACAATGTTTAATGCAACACTGAACAACAAGCCATTAGAAACAAGAAAAAGGCAGAAATGTGGTAACAAAAATCTAAATTACCAGGAAAAACTATATAACGAGAGACAGAAACACTGAGTAAACAAAAGCTCGTAATAAAAAAAAGGGGAGCAAACCAAACTAAGAAGCAAGTAAATATAGTCAGATACAGACACAAACAACAGACCCTACACTGCACTAGGGTCCTCAGTATCGATAATTTCATGGATTTTTTTCATATTCACCAATCTCCGCCCTGATGGGAGGTTATGACATTAACCCATTAGCCCTCATACTGTCCCATACCTCCCTGCCTGTAACTCCTCATACCGCCTCAAACCGCCCAAGCACTCAATGGTTTTATTGATTTTATGGAGGAGTATAGACAATGTAATACACTTTAATACAAATGCTAAAAGCCTTTTTTTGTGCTTGAATAAGCACTAATGTCGGGATGTCCCTCCACAGCTAGTTCATTTGACAGTCAAGTTGAGGTCATACTTTTTGAATGTCTTGCCCAATTCTTGGATTGATGGAGTTATTGTCTGGTTAATTGCAGCATACCCAGAGTGTCCTGTGGCCTGAGGCTGGTCGCGCTGATACTGCTCTGTCAACTCAGAAATCTTTACAGCATCTCGTGCTGTGCTTCTAAGGAAGCTGAATTTCTTCTCAAGTAAGTTACGCTATCATGATTCTTCCCTCAACCTTTTATTGATTTTCCTTATGTTTTTTTAAATTTTTTTTTTTAGAATTGCCTGTCATAGTCCTCCCAGAATTGACATGAAAAGGTACATTCTATTTCCAAATCCACCATGAAGCTTTGTAACTGGCACTTTGTGCTGATCAAGTTAGAAAACAAAATGCAAGAACTGCAGGCCATTTCACGAAAATTGACGCAATGGCATAAGTCCACTTGCGGCACAATTTATTGTGCAATTTATGCAACATTTCACGCTGCACAACATTACAGGTATGACAATGTCACAAACGTTTCATACTACGTAAGTCTGCGACTTCAAGGGCGGATCCAAGGGGGGGGGGGGCCAACAGGGGGCCTGCCCCCCCCCCCCCCAAATGAACCCCAATTTTTTAAATTTTTTGAAGTGACGTCGCAATAAAGGCAGGCACTGCATACACCACCATCTTTTCCTAAAAAAAATTGGTTAAAGTGGCCAGAAATTGCCTCAGATCGCACCACTGAACATCTAGAATCCAAAAAATGTTTGGGCCCCTTGAGCGGGCCCCAAACCTCATGCCGTAATTTTTTTAAACCAATTTTTGGGAGACCAATTTTTTTTTGGCCCCCCCCCCCTCCCAAATTGTGTTCTAGATCCGCCCTTGTGGGACTTGCGCAACAAATTATGGCGTAACCTGCGCAATCATTTTACCGGCAGGTGGCGTATGTTGTGGAGTAGCGACTGAAAATGACCCTTTTTTACCAGCACAACTTATCAAGGTTGATACAAGACACTCACAGCTTTGTGCTTGAAGTATAAGATTTGCTATTTTAGAATTGTTAGAGTTGTCGCACGGTTCCAAAGAAAGTCGCACAAAAACATTTTCAGAATGGTGGATGGAGGTGATTCAATGACTGTTTTTAACAAAATCATACACAAACAGTCGTTGTGAATGCTGTCACTATCCTTGTCCAAGATGTTTAGATCTTTTTAAACATTGCGCAGCTACGCCAAGTTTTGTTAAATCGATCGTAAGTTTATTGCGCAGCTGTGCAATAAATATGTTGCGTAAGTCCTACGCATGACGTAAGTTACATGTACGCACCGTTTCGTGAAATTGGCTGCTGTTTCGGGCTGGCTTTTATTGATACTTCACAGGCTTGCACCTAATTCAGTCAGGTATTTTTTTAAAGAAAGGAAATCTCCCTAAGTTAACTGCCTGTCTTTCTTTTACGTACCATGAGCTTCAAATTATACATTTCTTTGTATTATTATTGATTTTGCAGTTGTGTCCTGCGTAAACAGGATCCTTGTCAATAAGTGAACTTAAGTGCTGCCCTAAAAAAGAATTAACAATCCTGAAAGGATTTTTTTTTTTTTTTTTTGTCTGAGTGTTAACCTTTGCATGCCATCATTATTGATGTTGCAAATGACGTCAGACGGAGTGGTAGTTAAATGTAGCTTGAATAATCTAGGTGTAATTAATATGTGCATCAGGGAATTACGCAAGAACTTATTTGTGTTGGGTGTGCTGGACATCACCATGGCATTACGGGTACTGAGAATTATTAATTATTTTGGTACATACTTTGGCGTCACCATGTTGTTTCTCGGTCATAGGCATTAATAGTACTAATTACTTTATGTATGTGTGTGTGGTGCTATGGCCTTAACAAGAACAGAAATGTTTTCACTCAAAGAGATCCCATAATTAGGTATGGCAGTTTGGGGGTCTACCCGATGTTCCCCAATACCGATGTTCCCCGAGATCATTAGGATTAGGGTTAGGGTTAGGGTTATAGGGTAAGGATTTCGGGGAACATCGGTATTGGGAACATCGGTATTGGGGAACATAGGTATGCGCCCGGCAGTTTGTTTTGTTTTAAACAGCACGATCGCAAATTTGTAACCAAACAAATCTTTTAACTCTGGATTAGGATGTAAATTCTGCAGGTTGTGGTTCGAGTCCAGCCTGGGTTTTGCAGTGCGTGTGTCTTTGGGCAAGGCACTTCGTCACTCATTGCTTCTCCCCACCTCGGAGTAACTGGGTACCTGTGAGGGCAGAGATGGTTAGTGTGGTTGATTTTAGCTGCTTTGCGCCGAAATGGCATCATCGAGCTGTATACTCCCCAGGGAGCTGAGATTGTCTTTGCAATGTTTTATTGGCCCAGCGAGCAGGGTAATAATGATGTAGCACCTTCAGCACCAAAACTGGTGGAAACTTGGTCTTTATAAATACACATTATTATTATTACAATGTTCTCCCAGGTTTTTGAAGGCTGTTCTTCGATACGCTGAGAACCTCAACAGTCTGACCAGTCCGGAGAAGAACAAATGGGACGAATGCTGCGGCCTGACTGACTCACTGCTTCAACAAGTCAATTCCCACTGCGCAAAGCTAAAAAAGGCACAACCGAGCGCATAAAAGAGGTAAGGAGTGAAAGTTGAAGTTTAATATTGGTGGGTTTTTTTTTAAATATAAAAACATGGTTTATCATCCAGACTTTTTTTAAATGAAGGAGGCAGCCCCCCCCCCCACCTATTTTTTTCCCCAAGCTGGCAGATTTTCTTGGACGGTACATGGATTCTTCTATTTTCTTGACTCTTTTACTGATACAAAATTGTGTCCCAAAGAGCCGTCACCCTTTCTACATAGCTACAATTTTGTAGGAAACTAATATAAAGACAATGTGTTGACCAAATTTGCAAGATATATTGCAAATGTATGATTTACAGGAAAAAAAATCCAAATAAAAATCATTGAAATAAAGAAGGCGGGCGGGAAATTGAAATGGGCGGGACGTTGCAGTTGACGTCAAATCTGAACGTTTTAACTATGAAGATTGCTTCACTTGAAAATTTCAAGTGAAGCTTCAGTTCTCATTTTGTTGCCAATATATACACCGGTACTATGGCCAACATGTTGAATTGCTGAGTTTATTTCATTTTTGGGAAATTATCCAATGTTATAGTAGTGTATTATTCTGGTGAAAACATATTTAATTCCATTTGATTTATTGTGTAGGCCCAACCCAGATTTCAAACAGTGTTTGCCGCAGGCAATTATACAATCAGACTTATGTACAATGAAGTTTGTGGCAACCATTTTTGGGGCATGTTGTATCAAATGAAAATTACAGTCAATTTATTGCACAGTGTTCTTGTTTTAAACAATGTAATCAATTAAAGATGTGTTCCCAATTCAATATAAATGTCTTTCACTTTGGAATGAGACATCGATCAAAATAAGTTGGCCAATGTTAAGTTATTGTATTATTACATACAAGTTCCAATAATTGGTTGCCGGACAATAATTCCATACTCACAGGCTAGGCTGGTTCCCGTCCCACAATCAGTATCCATAATGTACGGACTGGTACCTAGTCTGCTCGCAAAGCAGATCAGTTGTTTGTGCCAAAAAAAACCCCTCTTACAGGGGTTGCAGATGTCCAAAAAAGAAAAAAAAAGTTTTTTGTTGATGGCATAAAACATGCCAGTGGAAAATGTACTGATAGAAAAAAAGCGAATTCTTTTTTTCTGCTTGGAGTTTGTGGTGTGTATTACTCTTTTTTTCCATGGAGGTTTTCTGCTGCAAAAATGTGGCCAACATCTTGGAACTCTCATACCTAAGGGGTTGTGATTTGATTGTTTTTAAATCCTTGGCCTCATTTTGTATATTTTCATTGAGTTAGTGGATGAAAAGAGCCTCAGGTGGTACTTTGCAGTGAACGACATGGTGCCAAGTTTTGTGTGTTTTTGTTTTCAAGAAGTTGTCAGCAAATAAGGGCAAATTCAAGCATGAAATGTTATTAACTTTTAAATGGACTAACTGTTATAATTGATTACATCATAAGTCCGGTCACAAACCCAGTCACAAGTAAATCACAAGTCAGTCCTCTAATATCTCAGAGACATGCATTTGCAATCATTTTTTCGTCACTTATATTTAAAGATCAATATTTAATACCATTAAATTAAAATTTTAAAATGTGCTCAACAAGTAGGTGAAAATTGCTGTCAAAAGTGGGTTTCCTTCTTTTTGCACCACCCTGTACACTGCAAGAATGCAGGATACCTGTAGTTGAACTAATCAAGTTGACTTTTGGTAACGGACCCTGTGACATTCTTCCTGGCTGTTACACCCCTTTACTGATGGTTGATGAATACCCAGGTTCAAGATAAATCCAGTGCGAAGGCCTGTGTATTCCTGTGAATTGTGCAGAATAGTGACTCTGCTCTGGCTTCTGAATGCAGGACACCGGTAGTTGAACTAATCAAGTTGACTTTTGAAAACGGACCCTGTGACATTCTTCCTGGCTGTTACACCCTTTTACTGATGGTTGATGAAGACCCAGGTTCATGATGAATACAGTGCGAAGGCCCGTCTATTCCTGTGAATTGTACAGGATAGTGACTCTGCTCTGGCTTCTTGGGATTTCATTTGGCTCGCTCCTGAGCCGTGATTCATCCAAGGAGCATCTCCTTCATTACCTCATGCATACAGGATCATTGACATCAACCGGAGAGCTTTGGTGAGCAAATCACAAGACAGAGTCATGCATGATCCTTGGATCTCAACCAGGCCGTTGACATTGCGTACGCACGAGTGAGGGGTGCCAAGAGTTCACGATGTAATGTACTCCCGAGACAGTCTGAAATATGAGCGACAATTTCTGTGTGCTTATTCGAACAATTGGGTCGATGCCCTGTTAATGTAGACTCAGGAGTGGGGTCGGAGAAAGCTATGGAGCCTGAAAAATTGATTTCATAACCCCACTTGTCTACGTTCTCCATGTTTTATTGTGACAGTGTTACAGATATTGAGCCCCGAAAATATTCCGGTTCATTCTCCATGTGGATAGGAATAGAAAGCAATTAGACTTCAATTTAAGCATTTGTGGTGAAATTCAGCAACGTTTGAATTCGATCGAGTGTTGCAAATTCCGAGAATAAATTCTCTATGACATCATAAATTCCCATATGAATTTGCTGTCCCATTAACACCACTTTAAGGAAGAATATTTTATGACATACAGTCTGGCTATAAATAAACAAACCAAAACCAAAACACTTTTTTTTCTTCATACAAATCCTTTTTTTTTTTACATTGCTGGTTTAAAATTGTTTACATTTACTATCCTCATAACTGACGAAAATCCAAAATGGAAATCAATGAATCTGTTCAAAAGCATAAATCAGGTGGGTTTTTTTTGCATTCCTTTGCCGGTGATACATGTAACTCTGCCTACAGGAGCATAAATTCAATCCTTTTCTCTCCCTAGAATTACAAGTATACATGTACCTTGACAATAAATATGCAGTTTAGGTATACCCTTACTGAACGTTAGTGAGAAGACATGTCTGGATAGTTTACCAACAAGTTCGAAATTGCATCAAACCTGAAAGTGCTCATGGTTCAATGGCCTGAATTTCAACCATGTTCTGCAGAATTTATTTTTCGCTGTCTGTTTTGCTATAAATCATAATGCAGTTTGCATCAAATTGTCATTGTTAAGATAAAGAAACTTTGCACCCCTTGGAATAATTAACAGAATATTGTTATTGTTTCTTTTTGATTTGTTTTTGGTTTTTGGTTTTGGTTGACATTTGTCTGAGCCGTTGCTCCTCTGCCGAAAGCCCAACACTCCTGAAGACATCACTGGCAGCTAGTATTCCAGACCAAGTCTTGGTTTTAAAAATGCATTCCTTGTGCTATTTTCAAGTTTCATCCCGAAAAAAGAGATTCCTAAATTGCTATTTTTCTAGCAAGACAAAAGTTATTCACTTTTGAATGAGAATTCGATCAAAAAAAAAAATCGGTCCATGTTTAGTTATTGAATTATTACTTTACAGGTTCGATTCTCATAAGGTAGGCTGGTTCCTGCCCCATGATCTACTCACAAAGTGGATCTGTTTAAACCTTTTTTCAGAGGGTTGCAGACATATCCAAAAAAGGGGGCAAAAAGAGGGGTTTTGGTTGGAATAACACAAGCAATTAAGTCGAACATTTATTAATCGAAAAAAAAATGAATTTATTGAAGAGCACGGGGAATGGAACTTTAAACTGCAGTCAGTTTTTATGGAGTACCGAAGTGTGATGTCATTTAGAACCAGAAAGTGTAGTGCAAACGAATGGAGTACACGCACGTGTTGGTTCATGGGCTGAATCACGCGCTAATGTCTTTCACACACATTGTGTGCGTGACGTTTTCACTTCGGTACCCCATTAGAAGCAATATCCATGATCCCATTGCATGTCTTGGAATTCTCAGATGGACAGGGTACGTGCTTGATTTCCAGCTTTTTTTTTCTGAAAAAGGGACAATAAAATCAGCTTAATAGGAACATGTGCTTTTGCAAACTGATTTGGGTGGAAATTATATTTATCTGGATGCTAAATTGCTTATTTAGCATGAAAACTTTATTGAGCACCCAGATACAAATAATTTCACCCCGTCATTTCATCGCTGGATGTATATTGCTTGTGGCAGTTTCTGAGCTTAATTGTGCTTATAGTGCTTATTTTTTTTTAGCTTCGCACTCTGACAGTGGATGGCTCTATATTGCTGACCTGTATCCAGAGAGACTCCCCAGAAAAGTGAATTTCCTGTAGAGGCATTTGTTCTAGGTCAATATACACTGCAGTCTGTCACCGCAATAAGACCATGGTTGATTAAATTGACCCTGAATGTAATATCGATGTAAGCACTTAAAAAAAACCCAGGACAGTCTACTAGCTGGTACAGACAAGTAGAGAGTCCAGAATTTGTTTTTCAATTTACCGTGTCTTTGCTGTAATACATGTGAATTTGTGCATCCGTAACAAGGAATATTGTAACAGTGTAATCCCTTTCAATAATTTTTGACCTCTTTTAGCGGAGAACATTGTTTTTCAGGTGAGGACAAAAGTTAGAAGTTTAGTTTGATCTCACATAGGTTATTCGTAACTGAATTCACACAGGTCTTGTATTCTGAGTATGCAGTAAATCCTGCCAATTGAAAGCAAAGTAATCATAATTAGGCCCTTTCACACGCTCCAAATCCCTGTGTTGGACCCAGTTGAACCCAGGGATTTTGAGAACCCCTTTGATACAAGTAAGAATCCACCACGGCTTTTACACGGGTGCGGCGCTGTACACTGGTAAAATTCAACCCAGGGTCAAGAGGCTCTAACCAGGTAGAAAATCCAAAATCTACAGCCGACCGGTGTACATGTATAAACCAGTGTACGTGTGAATGGCATGCCTCGTCAACCCGTGTTGGATGGGACTTGGTTCCGCTCACACTGGACCCGTGTTAATACCACCAGGGGTACTATAGGCAATACAATAGTGTGAAATGGTGTATAGGTGGAAGTACATCATCTTGACTCTCTTAGATCACATACCATAAAGGGAGCAGCACATACCGTATGTGTGTTGGTGTAACCT